GCCTATTTCCATTTACCATTTACCATTTACCATCGAAGTCTTCGCCGCAGTCCTTGGAGACCGGGGAATTGTCAATTTTTTTCTCATCTTTCTTCTTGCTAGCTTCTTGATTGTGTGTAGTGTTGTAGTGTGGTTGAATGTGTGATTTGTATGATGAGTGTTATTTTGTAGGAAATTTATGTTCTTCTAGATATTCTGTAATTGTGTAATAAGGTCGATTTAAGAGGTATTGTTTCAGCTGTTTTTTGAAGTTAGAGAGCAAGTTTATGTCTTTAAGTTTGTTGGGTAAGATGTTGTATAGTTTTATTCCCATGTAATTTGGTGTTTTGCTGGTTTTCGTTAGTCTGTGTTGGTTTAGATTAAAGTTTGATTTTACTCTGAGGTTGTGTTCGTGACAGTTTATTCTGAGTTGAGGTGGGTTTGATTTGATAAAAAGGATGGTTTCGTAAAGATATAAGGATGTTAAGGTGAGGATCTGGTTTTTGACAAAGAGAGGTTTGCAGTGTTCTTCCCGATCAACTTGTTCCAGGATTCTGATGGCTTTTTTCTGTTGTACTAGTATTTTTTTCAGGTCGGTTTCATTGGCAGAGCCCCATGCAATTATGCCATATCTAATGTGTGAGGAGAAGAGAGCGTGGTATGCCGTTTTGCAGATCTCTTTGTTTGTGATCTTCCTGATTCTCCTTAGAGCATATACAACTTGGGATAGTTTACTGTCCAGATTTTCAATATGGTCATGCCATGTTAATCGGTTGTCCAGTGTGATTCCGAGAAATTTAGCGTTTCGTTTTTCATTTCCTTCCTGTATCTGGCTGTTAGAAGTGAAGTTTAAAACTGTTGTTTTTTGTTGATTTATTTTTAGGTCTAATGAGTTGCAGGTGGCTATTGAAGTTTGAAGTGTTTCTTCTATTTTTTCCTTTTGGGTGTTGGAATTTGTTGGTGTAATTATGGTAGTGTCGTCCGCAAACATTATGCAGGAGCTATCACTAGATAGGTCATTCGGAAAAGAATTTATGTATATTAGGAAGAGGATCGGGCCAAGTATTGATCCTTGCGGGATTCCTTGATAGGTTTCTCGAAGTTTTGATCGGTATTTGATTTCATCGTTTTTTTTAGTGTATTCTAGTTCTACAAGTTGTTGTCGGTCTGTCATGTAATTTTGGAGCCAGATTAAAGCATTATGGGTGATATTTAGTTCTTGAAGTTTCTCAACTAGTATTTCTCTATTCAAGCTATCGAAGGCTTTTTCTATGTCTAGAAAAATGCTTGTTGCTTGGAGTTTTTTTTCCCAGATTGATGTTATGTCCTCGCATAGATTTGCAAGGGCTGTATTTGTTGATCTGCCATGTCTAAAGCCGTGCTGTGATTGGGTAAACTTTCCTTTGTCCTCCAGGTATGTGATGAGCTGATTATGTATTGCCTTTTCTATATATTTTGAGAGCGTGGGTAGGATAGATATTGGCCGGTAATTTGAGATGCAGGTTTTCTCACCCTTCTTAAATTTGGGATAAACTAAGGCAATTTTTGCTGATTTGGGGACTTTAGATTGTTCTATAGATGTATTGATGATATGTAAGAGTGGTGTGATTATTTCCCTTTTACAGTGTTTGATCATTTTGTTAGATATTTGATCTAGTCCAGAAGAGTTTTTAGGCGGTAGATTGTCAAATATTTGTTCAAGTTCCTTTTTGGTTATCTTGTTAAAGTTTGCTAGTGAGTCGGCTCTGGGTTGTTGTGACAGATTGGGTTTAGATTTCGGTTTTGGGGTGGTTGAGGTCCTATTGTGCAGAGTTTGGCGTGGTTTTCCGAGGGTAATAAAGTGGTCGTTTAAAAGGTTACAGATGTGGGTTGGGTCGGTAGTCAGTTTTTCATTGCTGATAAGATTTATTTCCTCTTTAATTTTCCTGTCCGCATTTCTTTCTTTATTTATGGTGCTCCAGAGTTCTTTGTTTTTGTTGGGCGCATTTTTTATTTTCTGGACAACAGCATTTGATTTTTGGATTTTGACTTCTAAGTCATATGCTCTTTTCATTTTAACGTACGAGAGTTTGTCCTCAACCCTGTTTGAGAGTAAGTATTTATGTTCTGCTAGTTGGAGTAAGTTTTTCAGTCTAGTAAGTTTATCATTCCAGAATATCTTTTTTTTCTTGCTACGGTGAAAAGTTTTGTACTGTTTAGGCATGATTTCTTCGATTTTGTATTGTAAAATTCTTATAAAGGCATCATACTTTTCATCCACATTTTGTTTAGAAAAGACAGTAGACCAATCTTGATTTTTGAGGGATGCTCTGAGTTCGTCTAGATTTGCTGGAGATGTTATTCTAATTTGTCTTTTTATGGGTGCTATAGGTTTTTTGTGTCCTATCTTTAGTTGGCAGGTAATTGCTTGATGGTCAGATATTGAGTTACTGTGGGTTTTTACTTCAAGGTCCTCCTTGTTTATGTTAGTACAGCAAAGGTCTATACAAGTTTTTGATGTGGTTGTTATTCTGGTTGGAGGTAGTTCCGATGGTTTCAAGTTATGTTCCGCTAATATATTTAAAAGAGTTTTTGTTTCAGTTTCGTTATCTTTAAATAGGTCTATGTTTAAATCACCCATCACTATTATCTTTCTGTTCTTGTGAGATATTGTGGAAAGTAAGTTTGAGAAATTTTCAAAAAAAGTGTTCAGGTTCAGGGATCTATATCCACCAATAATTACAGTCTTGAAGTCGGGTAGTTCAATTCCTACAAGTTCTGAAGATTGTTCTTCACAGAAGGTGAGCGTATTGATTTCTCGGATTTTTAGGATGTCGACATTGTTTTCCTTGCAAAAAATTGCTATTCCTCCCCATCTATGTGTTATTCTTGAGAATTCTGTTATTAAAATGTAATTTGGAATGTTTGTTATTTTTAGGTTTTCTTTTTTTTCACCATGTTCTGAAATTATTAGAATGTCTGGATCAAGGTTTTGAATTTCTAGTTGTAGCCTGTCTATTTTACTCTGTAGCCCTCTCTGGATGTTTAGGTGATAAATTTTTAAGGTAGGCCTATCAGTCCTATCTGTCTTTTTTTGCGGTTTTGAGTTGGAGTTATTGGTAGTTTTGTTCCTGATGAGTGTAGGTGGTGATTTTAGGTGAGCTATGGTGCTAGGGGTATTTGTAGAGTGGTCTCGTTTGGGCGTTGGGAGTCTTCCTTTGCAGTTTGGTAAGTATTTTTTGGTGTCTCGGTTTGTTGGTTATGTAGCGAATGGTGTGCTGCTGTTTCAGTAAGAGTCACATCTTCCTTAGGTGTCATAATTTGATGGATGTCATTAGGCTTAGGGGTTTCTGTTTGTCTGGTTAAGCCTCCCTCCGTAGTGTTGTCCCTTTCTGGATTTTTTTTTTTCCTCTTTCCTGGTGTTGTTCTTTTGAGTAGGCCTATTTTCTTTCTGGTTGTTCTCTGATAGAGTTGGTAGGCCTAGAATGTTGTTCAGGTGTGCGGTCAGCACTTTGTTTCCTTCGGTATTCGGGTGGATACCGTCGCTTGCATATAGGTTTTGGTTAAAAGTTGTAGTAATATCTATAAAATTAATATTTAGTTCGTCACACATGAATTTTAAAGCTTCATTCATCTCTTCGATGTAGGTTTTTGGTGCGTCCTGTCTATGTAGTAAGCTGTGAACATACCATTGGGTGTTTTGGTGTTTTTTTTGCATGGCTTCGATAGTTAGCCAGTAGGGTCTCATTAGATGGTTCGGTGTAGGGGAGTGCTGTACATTGTTTGAGCCAACGTTGATGATGACCTTTAGTGGCAGCTTACTTCGAGCGCTAAGGTGTCTACTGATGTCAGCTATTTGACCACCCGGAATGATTTTTGTAATAATATTTCGGGTATTATCTTTTATGTTGCGAGCCGCTGTTCTTAGTATGGAGTCTCCGATTATTAGAGCTTCGTGCTGTAGGGTTTGATGCGGTAGGCCTACATTAGTGGCTCTTGGTTCTGTAATAAGTTTCTTTTGTTGTTCAGTAGTTGGTGGGGTAAATTTCTCAACTTTTTTTTTCATGAGAGCTGCCTGCCAGGGGCCTGTCTTCCTTTCTTCTGAGTTTTTCCCCCTGTCGATTGACTTGTGTATATGTGGGGGATTATGGTAGCCTTCTGTTACCGAGTCATCCGCCAGGTGTCCGTGGAGTGTTCTATTGGTGGATTTCAGGAGACTGTGGATAGTTGATTCCAGTTTGTGAGTGATTTCCATTTTTTTGGCGATAATTTCTGAAAGTTTTTCATTTTCTCTGCGTTTTTCTTCAAGGTCAGATTTGAGATTATTTATATCTTCCATCAGAATGTCGATGATGGTTTCATATTCTTTAATTTTAGATTCATGGTTTGCAATATTTAGGGGCGTTGAACTTATTCGTTCTGAGTCCTCTGAAGCGTTTATAGGTCCAGCAGTAGGTTTGATAGTCAGATTCCTGTGTCTTATGTGATAGCAGGTTTTACAAATCCATGTCAGTGGAAATTCATTTTTTTCCAGAGCTTTGTATTGTTTGGTTGATATTAGAGCACATTTGGTATGGTACCAGTCATTACAATCGCAGGCAACTGCCTTGTCATTATCATGTACTGTTTGGTCGCAAACTTTGCAGTATGTTGCGTTAACTGTGTCATTGGTTTCAGACTGTGAGTCAGCTTTGGTCATTTTGCTTAGGCAATTTTTTTTTTTTTTTTTTTTTTTTTTTTTTTTTTGTGGGGGGGGGAGGGTTGAGGGGTTTGGAAGGGGTGAGAATAGGATATATAAAAGAATAGGATTTCTAGGAGAATAGGAGAATAGGATTTCTATCCTAAATGAAATGTTCCAATGGCCAATTTAAATATAGCCTATTATTTTAAATTTATTCAAATAATTAACAGAACAAGGCGGAAAGTATACAATATTAAATGAGTATTTGTGTCAGAGAATACAGTGGTAACTTAAGGTTAGTTCACAAGCAGGGAACACCTAAACTAGGTCTGTAACTAAAATACTATATACTTGTACTTACGACTACATTCAGCATCAGCACATTTTCTTTTGTCTGAAATTCGGTCTGAAACTACTGTCGAATAAAAAAGGAAGATATATAAAATCACAGAAATAAAATAATTCGAAAATAAATTCATTTTTGACAGGGCCAACTCATCACCATCTCCAATCCTATTTGACGTTGTTTTTATTAATCCTCCCAATGAGCGACGAGGACTATGCCAATGCCATACTGATTATAACGCCATTGACGTAGTGGCATATTTATTAGTCTAGACGATTGATTATGTACGTAGTATTGTTTAAAGATGTACTAAAAGATTTGATTTTGAATAATCAGCTATTTGTCGCTTATTATGTTTGTTTATGTTCTATGTTTAAGTTAATTTTTTAATTTTAGTTCAATTCCAATGCATATTAAATTATTTTGACCTAACCTATACATGTGATTGTGTCTACTTGGTTCAATAAACGAGTTATAGAGTTATTTGGTTTGAGTCAAAGAACTTAAGCTGGTGTTTTTAAGTTGTTCTAATGATATAAATTAGAAAAAAGTTGAAAGGTTGAAGGGTTACCGGAATTTTATCCTCCTGGAATTTTAATCCCTGGCAGGCAAAGCTGACGTCACAATGACTGAAGAGTACCTATGTTTTATCTATGCTATGACGTGATAACCTGAGCGTTCTAAAGATTGTTCACGGGCGAAATTTTAGCCCCGTGGATCTGGAAGTCTAATGAAAATAGACAGAGCATGATAGATTAGATTAGGAAAAACCCTGGAATATTACCCCCTGTCCTTATAACTAGTGTTTAGACAATCTGTAAATGTACATCCCGGATTTTTACCCCCAAAATTTCACCCCCAGATTTTTACCCCCGGAATTTTACCCCCTGATTTTTATCCCCCGAAATTTACTCCCTGGCCAGATATAGAAATTATTGAGGATGATTAATTTTCTTCTTTCAGTTTTTATTTAATTATAAACTTTTTATTATTAAGTAGTCTATCTTAATTTATTTGTAATCTGAACTAAGTAAACAGGTTTCGCTGTTTATATTTGATATTTGGGGTTTGGGGCAAACTGTTGATTAATGTAATTATGTATAATAAACTGAGTACGGTAACTATCAAATTTAAATGATAATTAGGTGAAAATTTCTTTAACAATTTATTAAACAGTCGTGGCAAATGTGTTTCGTTTCTGTTGTGCAATAACACAATATACATTTTTGTTTCTTCAGGCTCGAACCATCAGATATTTATGGTTTGTACTGCGAAAGGTCATCAAAATACCTGTTGTAAAATGTAGTTAGATTTAGGCTTCCGGTAAAAGGTATTTGACCAATTTTTGTGTTGATTACTGCAAGGAAACCCAAATGTTTGTATATGCATATTAAACAACAGTTGGTCCCAAAAATCAAATCCCAAACTCGAATATTAAAATTAAAATTCAAAACCTGTTTGATTCGTTAAGGTTACAAACAAATTAAGATAAGCTTTACTATTAAATGTTTACTGTTAAATTATAACTGAAAGAATATAAAATGAATCATTCTCATCACTTACTTATCTAGCCAGGGGGTGAAATTCTAGGGGGAGAATTCCAAGCCGTACATTTTGAGCTTACCTCATGAAGGGGGTAAAATTCCGGCCCGTACACTCTAGGTTTTTATAATTTGAGGTGTTCTGATTAAATTCACCACCGTGAAAAATATTTAATATTTAATTCCACCTTTAATCCATCGAAATGATGTTGTGCAACTCAAACGTTCGTGGTCGGAATTTTACCCCCTGGTTTGTGACGTCATAGTTTTCCCCAGAGTGTAAAATTACAGGGGGATAAAATCCAACTGTTGTTGGATAGTGGCAACGGGTTCGATTACTTTGGCACTTCCATAACACAAGAATTTGAACCGCTTGCCATACAAAAATATTTTTGTTTGTCTACCTAATCCAGTGGCATTTTTACAGAAATTGCAATCTAGGTACAAGGTATTAATGAACTTCATCAGAGCCTCCTGACTTCATCCTACATAACATAACATTCCTCCTGCAAAATTGTCACTGGCGTGAAGTGGAACAACAAGAAAAAAATACTCCCATCACAGCAAACCTGCATATTAAGATTTAGTAAGATGGTTTTAGTAGTAGATAAGTCCATTAGCCTGACTGGACTTTCACTGACATATATCCTAAAACTTGTCATCGGGGAAATTTAGTTGAAATAAAATATCTAAACCGTGTGAATTATTATTGGGGTCCTAAGAAAAAACATCTTAAATTAGTTTATTCCTTATTTCCTTGCCGTCGTCTTTTGATCATGAATAAGATTCGTAATTGGGCAACTTGGGAAATATATTATGTTTCAATGATACACCACTGAAATGAAATAAAAGAATAAATATTTAAATAAAATATCTAGATTGACTTTATATCTAGATAGATACCTGATATGCTAATGAAATAACACTGAATACATTTGCACCTTATCATAGATTAAACATACTCGGTAAGTCTATGCTTAGTCCTTATTTAACCATAACCAATAATCATATTAAACCTTTATTCTATTGAAAGATTCTGATCGTAAATGAGAGAAAAAGGTTCATGTTCTAAACTTAAGCACAGAGATGTACAGTATGGCGAGTTCTGCGGTGAAAGACCTCTTCCCGAAAGCTGTGACTTAAAACCGACGACTAAGCTGGTTGCTTGTTTCTGTTTTGTACAAATTTTTCATTCTGCCTGTTGTTATGAGCATCTGTGCGTGTCCGATCTCCAAATGTCTGCCTCTGCCAGCTGCCACTGCTGCTGGCTGCTGCTGATGGCTGCTGCTCAGTGTTTCCATTTGAGGGATAAAAATCCCTTTCTAGGGATATTTAGGGCCTTCGAGGGATTGAAAAGGGATTGAGGGATAACTAGGGATAATCAGCGAAATAGAAGGATTTTTTAGATTTTCTAGGGATTTCAGGCCTTTGACTTTATAAAATTGAAATATTGATCAAATAATACATTTTGGCTGTATTTCAACAACGTCAAGGACCTATTTTGGCTAATTTTGCAAGGTATTGACACAGTAACGCATTGATTGTACTACTTTTTCCCCAGATTTTGGTAACAAATCGATTGTAGAAGATACTCCTCAAGGAGTATGTTTTATCTATGGTTGTAGGTAGTGGTAGTGACGTAGTGTTTCAAAGTCGGAACACACAAGGGGAAGAGTAACAGCCAACACTGCACGAAACAAGCGAAGGACTGAAGTCGGTCGGTGGAATGTAATGGCGGATCTAGATTACTGTATTTGTTTCTTAGTAGCCCTGTGCCCTGTATGTCGAATGTTTGTTTTCGTTTTAATTTTGTTTGCCGGTGATTTCTATGATGTTTTTTGGTTAAAGTAACTTGGTATAACCTTTTCACCAATGCATGGTGGCCATGTTTGAAAAAGACTATAAGTTTGAAATTTGGACACTTGAGTAACATTTTTGAAACAATTGTAATTACTTGTAAATGAAAATTATAAGTTTATAAAATTTTAAAAATAACTATTTGTTTCATTTTTTTTTAGTTAATTTATCTTGTTTTGTACCACATAGGCAGTTTTTAATCACGGCTACCTTTAATTCCAGGCCGGAGGCCGCGGCCTTCGAAGTGGCAACGTTGCAAGTATAGTGTTGTAAAAGGTGATTGTTTGGAGAACGCTAAGCTATAATGATATTTATGTATTTTTTATAATAAATACGAAAGCTTGGTTACTGGGCTATGAAAATATTGACTCCACATTGAATGTATAGAAATAGATTTTCAATTTATATTGTTTTGGTTTTCGATTCTACATTATGTTTTATTTCCATGTTAACTTATGGGTATGGGACGTCTGGCGCTAAACAATCAGGGCTACTACATTAATGTAGTAGCCCTGCTAAACAATACTACGGTACTTGCAACGTTGCCAATTCTACCAGGCCGCGGCCTGCCTGGAGTTAAAGATGGCCGTGGTTTTAATGGTGCAAAAATGTTTTTTATATAGTATTACTTTATAAATAATATGGGATATTAAAGAATAATACCACCAGTTACCATATTTTAGGTGGCTATACATGATATCCATTGGTATTGCTGCAAAAATAATAAGTTATCTAGATTTAATGAAGAGGGATAATTGGAGGGATTTTTAGAACACGGACTAGGGATAACTAGGGATTTTTTGACGTTGGCCCAGGGATATTTTTTTCTTGCGGATGGAAACACTGCTGCTGCTGCTAGCTGCTGCTGAAAGCTGGCTGAAGCTGAAGTTCTGAGTGCTGCCCGTCTGCCAAAAAAATTCGTGTTGTTGGTTGAGTTGAGTTAGCAGCCATAACAAAGTATTGTACTGTATTTGTAATTTAATCTTAAAAGGTAAGATCATGTAGTAGATCTAATGTAGTAACTTAGTTTCGGAACAAATATTACAGAGAGAAAACTAGCCTAATACCCTAATGTTTGCTAATATTTAGTATTTACCTAAGTAGGCCCTAGCCTATGTTGTGTGGAAGTTGATTGATCCAAACATTTGAACTTAAGAGGAATATGATTTAGCTTCCACAATTTAACTAGGCTAGCCTATGTGACGAGCCATATAAATAAATCAATGTAACCTATCCTTTCAATAAGCTCTAGACGTTTAACTTACATGCAATGTCACACATTGTCAGTAGGCCTAGGCCTAGGGTTTACAGTCTACCAAAATGAAAATATTACCTCTCCTCTTTGGCCATTGAAATTTGAAACCAATGAAGGTTTATGGCCTCACCAACAAGATGCCTCCACTGCTGCCGATATTCCGCTAGATTGAGTTGCCCCATTATGTGTAGGTCCTTATGTAGGCATAGGCCTACCTGTCATTAGACCACAACTTTGGTCTTCCCAGCGGGCAATAATTGCCTGGTGGTTTTTAATCTTTTGTTTAGGTAACTTAGGCCTATAGTAATTAACTTATAATCACTGTAAAAGGAAACACAGGATATGCATCCGGTAACAAGATGTGGATTAACTTACTTAGGCGTCCGGTAGTGATGTCACCGGGTTGTGGGGTCCCTGAACGCTATTACCACAATGATACGATGTACAGCCATCGGTGTTCGTGGCTGCACTTTACTGTAGGTCCTACACTCATTCGAATGAAAATATCGATTGATATATCGATTAATCGATTGTTTCATTCAAATGAGTGTAGGACCTAAAGTAAAGTGCAGCCGTGTTCGTTGTATGGTGGATATAAACTAGGCATAGATTGGTGTCTAACTATTTAAATTACTAGTGTTAGATTTTAGTTTAATATTTCGGTTTACTTGAGTGACTATGATGATTTGTACCATAAAAGATTCATCATAATAGGCTAATAACTTAAGTTACTGACTCTATTAGCCTAATTTCCTTGATTTTAAATAAGCTTCTAGAGGTATAGTTAAGCCTACTTATAAATTAAGATTAATAATAGGCCTATGGTCTCAAATCTCAAATACAAGATCACATCTTATGCGATATTCTATTGTGTTGCTTGGTAAATTTCTGAGGTATAAATATATAGCTACAATTGTTTCAGATCTAAAATGCCTGAGACAGACTACGATGATGACGGAGATCGCTCAACGCGGTTGACCAACGATGACTTCAGGAGATTGTTGATGACTCCTAGAGCTTCAGTTCCGGCTTCAGCTCCTTCCACTCACTCGGTAGATAAGACAGAGAGTGAAAAAGATGTTCCGCCCACTGAGGACGAGGACAAAGCGGCCCAGCGGAGGAAGAAGAAGAGCTTTTATGCCAAGCTCAAGAAGCAGGAAGAAGACAAGATGGCAGAACTGGCTAAGATGTACAGAGATCGAGCAAAGGAGAGGAGAGAAGGTGCAAACCCAGACTACCAAGCCGAAGACCCTCTGTCCACCGCAAGCGGGTACCGCGCTGTGGCTCCTGATCTGAAATCTGGACTAGATGCAGCAGAGAGAAGAAGGCAAATGATTCAGGAATCTAAGTTCTTGGGTGGTGACATGGAACATACTCATTTGGTAAAAGGTTTGGATTATGCTTTGTTACAAAAAGTAAGGAGTGAAATCCAGGTGAAGGAGCAAGAACAGGAAGATGAAATGGAAAAGTTGGTTTCCAAGCCCAAAAAAGAAAAGAAAGTGAAAGAAGAGGAAGAAATGCAGTTTAAGACTAGACTGGGTAGGAATATTTATAGAGTGGCTTTAAATACCAATATCCCTGATAGAAATCCACTGTTTGCTCCTGGAAGAATGGCATATACAGTTGATCTGAATGATGAAATATTAGACACAGATATCCCGACTACTGTTATAAGGAGCAAAAGTGACGTTCCCAATGTGGACAATACACCCACTTTGACAACCAACGATATAGTCATCAACAAGCTTGCTCAGATTCTCTCATACTTGCGACAAGGACCAAGGCATTCTAAAAAGTCGAAAAAGAACAAAGACCAGCGACCTCAGGTAAGCTGATTCCTACATCTCTTCACTTGTACGGTAATTAACTTTAATTCTCTAAATGTGCAATCGTAGTAATTTGTAACATTACTTAAAAGTATGTGCTTTAGAACTTGTTGAGACTAAGCTAAGCACACTGTATAGTTCTGCTCACCAATTTCTAATAAATGCTTTGCAAGCAGATTGAAAATTGCATGCAGTTTTATTCCTCTGAAAATACTAAACTTGTGGAGAAAGGTTTGTTGTAAAGCGAGTGCTGTATCGTGGAGACGGTGAGATGTTTACTAGTCTATATGTCTTAGTTGACAACTTTACAATTCGTCATAACAATACATTTCAAATCTTTGTAGCTTAAAGTAAAGGCTAATGAATCATTTATATATTTATAGATGGACGAAGGAATTTTCCCAGAATTGGGTGATTATATTCCATCTGCTACTTCAAAATCGGTGAGCGAGGTATCGAAAAAGAAAATTGCAAGTTATTTTGGTGGTTCAACAGAAGATGAGAAGTCTTCGAAGGAACAAGAAGCCAAAGCAGAGAAAAAGAAATTTGCTTTGCCTCCTCCATCAATTAAACCCGAGAGTTCCACAAAAGCCGCAGGCATACTGTCTAGGTATGTTGTTTGAATACAATTTCGTAATACTGGTATGTATTTAAATTTGCATCCAAGATAAATTAGTTCCATTTTTGTGTGTAATTTTAACATAGGTTAAACATTGTATTTTCAAATTGTTTTTCATTATTAGCTGGCACAATTAACTATTTGTATGTCAGAATGGCAGCAGAGGTAACTGGTTATCAGGGCATTGCCGCAAACTTAATGTAGGTAACCATTATTTTGTAATAGTTAAACTCGAAATTATGTGGAATTGAGCACATAGGAATCATGTCACGAAATTAGAATTTGTTTTCACTAAATTTACCTTCAGCCTGAGTTGGTCCTGACTAATCTTAATTAGGTAAACAAACATATTTTTATCCTTTAATCTTCTCTCCTCATTGATTTCCTCATAACAAATTCTGGTCTTGCTATTTCAATGTTATAGGCTATCTGTGGGAAATCGGCCAGTGCTTTAATCATCAGTCCCAACCTTGTGTCATTGACATTCCCAAAGTCTGACTTCCTCCTCCCTCTTTCCCGTTTTTGCTCACAAGAAGAATATTGATGTATTTATGCATGACCCCTAGAGTCATCCCAAGAACTGTATTAAACGACTCGCAGGTGTAGTTTTTTTTAGAGTATAGGTTTGGATTAATTCTAATCTGACCTAAATTTTGCATCTCTTGAGATGGATTTGCTCCATTCAACGTTTACCATGCAGTACAAAGCCCATTTAAGCCATGAATTTCAAAAGGCAGTTTTGGTGATAATACACACCCTTAAAACTTTAGAATCCTTGAAATGCTCCAAATTTGTACGGAAAGATTGGCTACATAAGTGTCTGGTTAGGCAAGTATTTGTCCTTGGTGTGACCTTGACTTTGTCCTGACAGGTTGGCTGCAGAACCTACTGGCTACGCAGAGTGTTACCCAGGGCAAGACGAGATGCAGGATGCAATCGATGACTCGGACGATGAAGTAGACTACACCAAGATGGACCTGGGTAACAAGAAGGGACCCGTCGGTCGATGGGACTTTGACACACAAGAGGAGTACAGCAACTACATGAACAGCAAAGAGGTGAGTGTCGAAACTATCAATGTTTACAATCAATTTGCTAGTCAAGGTGTGATTCATTTAAGCTGATTTAATCGGACATGAACCTGGCAGAAGTCGAGTCTAGACCAATTCCGTGATCTGGAGGCTACAACACCGTCATGCAGAGACTTATTATGAAATTAAATGCAAGCTTTCATACTGCAAGGTTAGCCCATACGAAGTTTCAAAATGTTTGTTACCTTGACAAGAAAGACCTCTACTCTGTGCTACATGGTTGAATAAGAAATATTCACGGACTTCTTTGCTATTTCATTATTCATTCTTTCCTATTATTCATTCATCAACCGAATGGTAGCCCACCAGCCAGAGAAAATAGATCAGCTGATGGAATGTAATTATTATACTTACCAAAGAATACTCCAGACATTTCGGTTTAATAAAATGGTGCTTTTGTTTTTCTTTAGGCATTGCCCAAGGCTGCCTTTCAGTATGGAGTCAAAATGGCGGACGGAAGACGAACTAGGAAGTACAACAAAGAGAAGAATGAAAGAGCCGAGCTTGACCGTGAGTGGAACAAGATCCAGAACATCATTCAGAAGAGGAAAGCTCCAAACGAACCAGGAACACCACAGTTTAAAGTTCCTCGATACTAACTTATTTATACATTTTGCTTTTGTACATATATCATGTTTATCATACACATTGCAAACATCTAATATACGTTTTAAAAATACAATTTTGTTTTTAAATGTTTGATGCATCATACATAGGTTTAGTTTTTGGTACATGCAGCATGTACAGTTTATCATTGTAAACAAATTCACAATTTATGTAATTATGGTAATAAAATGTAATTTTATTTAAAAAAAACATTATTTCTTATTACCTAATATGAAATCTATGTTCAGCACATTTTCATTACCATGACTACCAATTCATCTTACAAAAATCCAAATGTTCTTTCAGTCATGAATGGTTTCATATATTGATACGTGACCCACAAATTCTCATGCTGTAAAGGTATTATTAATCTTAAGCCATGGTCCATCTATCTTTTCCATAAGGTACGGGGTACGGTTTATCCTTGATAAAAAGGGATTTCCGGGGGGCCTAACCCGGAAAATGTTTTAAAATTTTGTTACAAAATGTTTGATTGTTACCTTTTAAAACCAAAATTTCCGTTGTCAGTTTAACAAATGTTATACTGCACAAGCTGAAAAAGTTAATATGGGATCTCATTACCTAGCCCATGTCTTGCCGTGTTTACAAAGGCCAATCCCTGCCTCAGGCAACTGATAGATGGACGCCCATGGCCTAAGATTCACCCCTACAGTATGAGAATTTGTCAATACACAAATCAAACCATTCATGACTGAACAATTCTAAAACCCTTATAATGGGGGTTGTCTTGAAGAAAAAAATTCAAATGATTAAATTTTACACTTTTTCCTTGCCGCAGAACAACAAAACCCAAAAATTCTACCAAAGTGTAAACCTACTTGTCAAGAAGTAACAGGAAGAGAATACCTTTAAAGGGTTATTAATTTAAAGTAAATAAAATAACTCGTTTATAATTTCAAAACAGACTGTTTTTGTCAGTTCTATGAGTAGGTTTGGAGAGAAAATGGCTAGAATAAATAAATAACTTCTTGATCAGCATTGTACGTGTTATTAAATTTACGGAAAGTAAATAAAAGAAACGTCTTATAACACTTATAAATATACAAAAAAGTTGGTAAGTGGTGATCGATTTTGATTGGACACTCCAATCATAATCAGACCCAATAGGCGAATGATGATGATTGGAGTGTCCAATCGAAATCGACCACCACTTACCATATTTTTTGTATACTTACCGTCTTGTGAATAACAGTATAAGTGTAAATATATGTTTTAAGTGTTATAAGACGTTTCTTTTATTTACTTTCAGTAGAGTAAGTCATAAAATTGCATCTAGCCTACATTCAAAAAAACCTAGTTTTCTTATTTTTAAGTTTTCTGTCATTTTGGAAAATTGTGGCCATTTTGAAATCAATATCTGGAATCAATATTTGTGTTTTTAATGGTGTTTTAGGAATGTAGAGGCAATTTGAAGAATTATTTACTTCTAGATTTTTCTTTCTAAACTTACTCGTATAGGAGCTACATGAAAAAGAATGTACACCGCAAGTCATTTTGTCATAAATTTAACACGTTTGTATCTCCTAAATGAGTAGCTTAAGAGAAAAAATGCCAAGAATAAAAACGTTTTTAATACGTTCAGTGCTAGGGGCGGGAATTCTCGCCCCGCGGTACCGGCGCCAATGGTGCGGGGCGGGAATTCTCGCCCCGCGGTACCGGCGCCAATGGTGCGGGGCGGGAAATCATGTCCTTCACCAATGCCAACAACTTTGCTTCAATGTGAGCTCAGCCATTGCCAGGGAACGTTGTAATTTTTGCCAGCCTGTAACGAAGAATGCGAGCTTTATTTTGGTGTAGGTTGGTACTAAACATTCCCATAAAATCCCGTCAGGCAATGCTTTTGTCCTGTTTTCGGGAATTTTCTCTATTCGAGCCATATTATATTACAAAGACTCTGGTTATTGATCTAGGCAGTGCTGCTACCTTTGGATGTTTTAGTAAACTACGTCCACTTTCGGGGTAACGCAGAACAATCACCACTGCTATTTTGTGATTCGTCTTACTGAGATATTTTCGATGCCAATAGCGATCGCTGATTCAGTTAGCGTGCCGGGGCTCCGCCCGGGCCTCCCCGCAGTTTAGGAGCGCCTGTGTAAAGGTTTTCAGCAGTGAACGTGTTAAATAGCATTTACTTTCTAAAAAATGCATAAAATATATGGCCTTCCATACAAAAAATCAAAGTTGGCGGCCATATTGAAAAAAAGGCGGCTAAAATTATTTTTCCAACTTGTCCAACATTTTTAAAATAAAAATCCAAGGCAGTTACAATTTAACATTTTTTTATATTATCTTATAACTTTTGAATAAAAACAGCTGGCACACTTATCAATCAGCCTGTATACTGTACAGGGTGTTTCAGTAAAGCGTACAGGCTATGCAGATTCAGATTCTACATGCAAAAATAAGTCGCAAATGAAGAATAACTTTTTTTTATTTCGGCTTAGTTTAGCCGTAATACGCCATTTTGTATTTTTTTGAAAATAATTAATAACTCAAAAGCCCTTAGAGACATTTTTATGAAACTTGGTACTGTATAAACTTAAAATCTATAGGTATAAACATTCTCCAAAAATATCTTTGATCAGGCTAATCAAATTTCAAAATAGCGGCCATTTAAAATTTTTAAAGTAATTTAAAGAAAACCAGCCATTTAAACAAAATACCTGTAGACTTTAAGTTTATACCAAGCTTCATAAAAATATCCCAAAGGAGTTATTAATTATTTTCAAAAAAATTCTACATTTTCAACTTATTTTTGCATGATGAATCTGAATCTGCATAGCCCGCTACGCTTTACTGAAACACCCTGTATATTAAAATTTAAACATTTTACCACCCATTTAACTTAGACAACATACATAGTCGAAAGTATGAAATGCAGGCCATACACAGTAAAACATCAAGGAGAGAACTAAAATGTATTTTTTAAACTTATAAAATTTATGTTTACGAGGTACAACATTCTTAAAAATAACAGAACACTATACAAATAATATTCAGTTTAACATTTCAGCACAATCAGTTTGTGTAACATAGCGCTGTAACTTGTTAAAATCATCAGTGACCTTTAAAGAACATTAGTTACTTTAGTTAAACAGCATAAATGTTGTTAAAATTTTTAGGGTAGTTTCATTCAAATGAAGGGGTTGAATAGTAACCGTCTCTTGTCTTACGATAAGCAGACCAAATTTTAATAATGCATTGAGTAGGTAAGTGACTATAGTTTTTTTCTCAAACCATACATTTAAATCCATGCGACTGAATTTAATTGTATTTTTATGTTGTCATTTTTTACTTACTACATAAATTCAGAGAAGTTGTTGGCACAAAAACACACAAAAATAAATAAAGAACCTTTAAAGGTCCAAAAAGCTATGATTTGCAAACCATAGTATACAACAACTATATAATTGATGGCACACATTTTTATCGATGTATAAAAACTAAAATATTGGCTTAAACCACAAAATTATATGTTTTGTAGTAAGATAAACATAACAGTGTTTAAATGCCAACAATAACAATGAAAATACCCTGTCCATGCTTAACACTCTATTTTGGTGTACTTTTAATTTAAGGAGAAAATAAATTAATTTCTTGGATTACCCTGATTAATTCCATATTTAAAATTTAACGCTAAGTATAAAAAAAAAACTTACCAAACACCCAATAACCCAATAGAGTATTCAATCTTAACCAATTTTCATCTGTACAGATTGTATGTAATATTAAAACGCAACAAATTAGTTAAGGATTAACTAAATAAATTATGCGTGCTTTCGGGATCAGAATTTGCAATTTTAAGAGCAAGCAACCCCCCCCCAAAAAAAAAAAAAAAAACACAAGAAGTCTTCCTCATAAAAATATGTTCAATAGTTCTAAGAAACCTAAAAACTTCAACCTAGACAATATGTTTTTTTTTTTCTCAAAATTTATGTAGAACATCTAAAAATATCTGAATAATGTTTTATTATAAAGTACATTGAAATGCTTTATCTTTTTTACCGTAAAGTACACGTTAAATAAGGGTTGTGTACAATGATTTATTCAATAGATATTATTTCAACTGGAACTCAAAGAAACTTTTTAATAAGCAACTACGATCCCATTATGACATGTATACTGTTAAAACTTTGTACCCCAGAACTTGCTAAAAATCATGATAATTTTCTAAAAATCATTCTAAACTTATAAAAGCTAAGTCTTAGGTCATTAAATATTATTTGTGAGAAAAGAAGTGGAAAAAACGTGTTGGACCTTAAAATTAGTGATCCCTGTCATATGAAAAAAACTTTTGATAGACAAAATTAAATACAAAACACTCAGTGGTTTAAAACCCAAACTACCTAACAAATAATTACACACCATTTAAACATAATATATCAATTCCATGTGAACCAGGAAGACTATTTCACTACGAGTAGCTAATATCTTTTATCATATTTAGGAACAATTTATACAACATTACGAACAACAAATTTCAAACCAAGGATGAGTATTGGCCCAAATAAATCAATGGTATTCTCTTTGGAACTAGTTTTTCTAACAAGTCTTTTATTTACGTCTCAAAATTACGAGTGAAGATTTGTCTACTTGTACACTACTGGTAACGAGTGTTAATTTGTTCAAGGGCCAATACTGCCGATAAAAATCTTTAATGATTCAACAGCCAAACAAAACATGGTAACTATAATTCCAATAAAACACAATTACATAAGTGCACTAAGAGTAGGATTAAATATCTAAAAATAGACATAGAACTGCTTTTTGTTACATATGTAAATGTTAACATTAAAATCATTTATATTCTTAACAGATAATATAATAACATTGTTATTATAATTTACTTAATGTTAGATTATATAAATAGGCTGATTCACTCTGGAGTTACAAGTCAATCAAATAAAACTACTATATTAAAGTAAATCTAAACTGAAAAGAACACTTTATATATCAAATTGTAAAAAAACAACAACCTTATAAACAACCTGTTTGAAAACAAATGCAAAATTAAAGCTAAAATATATTTTAAAACAAAACCTATCAATACAATATTTTATTTCAATGAACTGTTGAATAAATGTAATGAATAATTGCATCTCCATTTCGAGGTCTTTATTTGAAAAGTCGATATGAACTTTTTGCACAAATGGTTAAAATTTGAGCCTTTAAGAGACCTTTATATATTGTTTTCAATCCTGAACAAGACTATAAATATATGGAAGATAAGAATACCTTCTTACCATTATTTCTGAAATATTGCATTAAACAATTCCAATTTCCTTAATTAGTAAAGAATGAAAACTAATTTTTTTTATCGTGGTAAAATGTAATTATATCTGAGTCTTAATGCTACTACCATAAGTTAAATTTTTATTACTTCTCTGTGCAAAATAGTGCTCCAATAAGGCTTATAATCATCTCTAAATGTGGGTAAATGTTTTTCTGTCGTGAGAATAGAAAATAAACATTATAATGATTACAAAACAAAATAATCATTATTTAGTAAATATTTTGTTTCAATTTGAATAATATGTGTTAAGAATGAATTATTTCTTCTGAACATACCACAGAATTTTTAATTCGTCCGTAAAACATTAAGTGATCTCTTTCCGTTCAACATTTAATTAGATTTGATTTGTTAAGTTCTATAGAGCACAGAAATACCTTTGCTAACTTATGCTACGAATACTCCACATCAAGTTTTGAAATTTTATTTCCTCTTAAATATAAATATCATCTCATTAGTTAGTTAAAGGCTGTTGTAGAAATATCTTAGCTTAATTAGTATTTACAAATGAAAAATTACCTCTTAAAAGACGCTAGTGTTAAATTTTTTGATTGAGATCCAGCCCTTCATGTTTTCTCTCAGGACTTTAGTTTCTTCTCACTGAACAAGTGTATTGAGTTGAGAGTATTTGCACACAACGTGCTTGAGTTTAAATATAAAAATAAATTAAGCAATAAATTATTCTGATTCAGGTTAGACAAACTATGCAATAACTTCCTTGAAATTCCTCTCCTCTTCAAGTTGACTAGATATTTTGAACTTGCGAAGATTATTTTCAAAACTTAAGCGAAAAACTCAACCTTGTTCGACAACTCGTATTCAATTTCTTCATTCTTGTACATTTCTAGAAGCTGAAAAACAAACAGTGTGTATTAGATTTTGGATGGTTAAATACATAAGATAATTACCGCAGCAAAATTAAAAAATAATAGATTAAGACAAAGTTTTTCAAAATTGATCGTACAATTACTGAGCAAAGCAACCTATAATCAAGCAACAGGATTGTTTTAGCTATAAGTTGGATATCAGTTATATTGATAAAGCTGATATTGAAACTTAATGGGTCCTGGGAAGTGCCAAATTAGCAAAAGTGCCGGATTAATGGATCATAAAACATTTGCTGCAAGGCACAAACAAAATAACATTTTTGTTGAAGATTGTCATACTAAAACAAATGATAAAACATCTAAGTCTTTGCTCGTGATTATCTTAACCATGCCTAAACCCTTGGGATTAGTTTTAGAGCTGATCTAGTGGTGAAGTGTGGGATTTTGATTTCGGTCATTCAAGTCCTGTCAATTGATTTTTTTTAAGTGATAATGTCGCAACCCCCTCTAAACTTAAGTTCCTTTAAGCTGAAGCATGGTGGAAGTAAAACAAGCTGAAGTAAAGTGGAAAACAATTCTGGGCTAGAACCTAGATGGGGATACAAATTAAATTAAGAAAAGAAAAAAACCCTTTGATTGCAATTACACTATTTTATTGATAGCCAAAAGTGCTAAGTGTTTAACGTTGAAATTTTAAAGAATCGGAAGCAAAAAAAATCATTCAGTTCCTGGACTACCAAACTATAGCTTTCAATTGTGCTAATTGTGTACACTTGGCATATTTTAAACTAGCAAGTTTCTTACCCCGCTCACTTCCTTCTGCAAGTCTTGTTTTTGTTTCTCATGCTTAGTGTTCAGCTTATCTTTCTCTTTGCTTTGCTTCATCTAAAAAACAAAAAAGAGGTTCAATCATGAAGATTAATTTTATGACAGCAAAAACTACTACTACTACAAAAGCATTATTGAAAACTCTAGGAATAACTAGGAAAATAAACATTTAACAAATACTGACAAATACAAGTTGCTTACCAATATATAGATTCCTCTGGAAAAAGTAGAGTGGGATTGCCGTTCCCACATAACTACACCACTACACATAAAACATAGAATATTTGGAGACACTAGCTCCTTCTTCATTAGTAGAGTCTTTCTATGTTATTGTGGGTTGTGGAAGGAGGAAGAATACCAGTTTGTAAAACTAAAAAGGGAGCTAGTAACCCAAAAAAATTGATGTTTTATGTGTTTATTTGTGCATTTCCATCTACTCCTATTTTTAACAAAAAGGTAAGCATAGTGTTAAACTATCCATTACAAAAACCTCAGCCTAAATCGATCTTCACCAGAAACTTTATAACCCGATTTTATGGTTACTTATACTTATTCCTTTACACCTGAACATCTGAAGTCAAAAACATATTCCTTGTGTTTAAATATCGTCGCATAACTCACCAAAGCAAACTTCCTCTCATCCATGAACTTCTTTGTGTTATTTTGTTTCTTCTCTCGCAACCTTCTGTCCTTTTCTCCTTTCGTTCGAAGAGTTTTGTCGTTTTGCACCTCTTTCATGGTTTCAACAGATATTTTTGCTTGTCTGGTGTTCATCTCCTTCATTTCCCTGAAATAACGAGGATGGTTAATAATTAAACCACGTTATAGAATGATGAAAGTAAAATGTTGTTGATTTTAATAGTCTAATCTTTGACACATTATGTCTGGGTTTGGAATATATTCGTTAGTTATCTGTTAATTTCCCATATCGGGAATAAGCTTTAAAGCCTACTGAAGACAACACCTAGCCCCAGGACCGATTTACTTTATTGTTTTGAGGTGCCCAGAGGCCGAAAACACCATTTCAACTTCACACATGTGTCTGTTAGCGTTATAACTCGAGCAAACATGATCTGATTTGGTACTTAAGTGTGAACTATATTTATGGTACGTATTGTAAAGTATGACTAAGACTAAGTTGGTGTTACAAGAATGACAATGCCATAACCGACCTTTCATGTTTTCCTTCCAACTGTTTCATCTGAGTCGCCTGAACTTGCTCAATGATCCTTTGCAAATGGTCCTTCTGCTCTTCAACCTGCAAAGACGAGTTCTTGTTATTGAGGTAGTTGATGTCACATAAAAAATGCTATACTTTACAATGTGTCATTTCAATTTGGCTTGGTTGAAAAATATACTTACTCTACAAAAATTGAAATTAGTACAGCAGAACTCTTACTATCCAGATTAAATGGGCTGGACCCTATCTGGATGTTAAAAAAAATCCAGATAGATTTTTCAAAAATAGGAATTTTGCACCAGGCAGAAAACTCATTGACGATCGTTAAAACACTACAGTACACTCGTTGCATGAAAGACACAAATGCCTTCAATGTATGCAAAAAATGTGTTTTAAAGTGATGTCTGTATGTTTGGTCATATTTTGATGAAACTTTGTTCGTTGGTTATGTAGTAGGCTAAATCCAGGTGTTTTTTTCATTTTATTAACATTTTTATTTTTAATTGTGATATTCTCATAAAATAACAGAAAAATCTAATTTTTGCAAACACAGTGTAGGCTAAAAGATGTTAAGTAAAATGTAGTATGTTCTGGTTCTTGATCAACCCCCAATGCTGTAAAAATAACGACTCAAAAGTTATTGCAACTTTAGTGATTTTACCCATAGAATATCATAGTTACTCCCACTGCCTACCCATAAGGTTTGATAACAAGCTAACGAGAGAAAGTAAGAGTCTGATACTGTTTCTTTAATCTTCCTTAGGGTCATGCGGATGGTTGTAATTCTACTGTAATACGTTTTTTTTCAAGTTGGTATGGTTGAAAAATTTGCCTGTTTGACAGAAATCATTAATTTACACTTGCACACTTTTTGTTGGTTCAATTCAATTATATTAATTTCATTTTCACCCTAATACTGTCTTGCTACGTATTTAACATGGGAATGGGAAACACTTATATCAATCAGCAATGCGAACAGAAAGTAATATTTTGTCAGCATATAGTAAAAGAACCTATAGAGATATTTCGAAGACATTTTCACAATTTTTAGAGGCCTTGTCCTATCTTTTTACACACCTGTTGCTTCAGAATGCCCCACTCCTCCTTGCGATGACGTTCCATCATCTCGGACCATTGAGTCATCTGCTCCGTCACCAGCTTACGAATGCTTGCGTCTGACACAACTTCACTCTTGCTGCAAAAGTGATTACAAAGTTAAAATCCTTAGCTTCATCTTCAGTGAAGAGTTGATTCAAACTCTGTCATTGGAGGTTCGGGTAGTTGGACATTTAAATTGGATATTTAAAACCGAGAAATACAGCTTTATGAAGGGAATTGTGTAGAATACAGAGAAATGATTTCCATTTGTAATTTTTTATTTCTGTTTTGTAATGAATCACAGAAACTAGAGTAACAACTGCAAGGGTTCAATTTAATTCTTTGCATCAGGAGGACCTTAGGGTATGGATCATAGATGTTTCAAATAGGCCTAACTGACATTTTATTTTAAGGAATTTTCTTAATCTAAATGTTTTAACTACACCATCAAGCAAATTCCTCCCAAAATTTCAAAATATCAAATTTGTGAGCAAATTCCTCCCATTTTCAAGTGACTAACTATCTACAACTCTTTGTAGGTTAGGTTAGTCAAATCAAATCAAATCAAAATCTCCTTTGTTCATAAATGTTCAAGTACAATGAATAGAGTCAGTGAGTCACTTTTTGTCTAATTACAATATTTTAAATTGTAAAATTCCTCAAGGGAGTAAATTGCTTTTTCAACTAGGAATTTCTTTAGTTTCAAGTAAAATTTCCTGCTATTACATTCATATTTTATATCTGTTGGTGTAGATTAAATGGCAATTGGAGGAGTTTCTTTAGGTCCCAAAACGTAGTTCAGTCAAAACACATAGCGTAGGAAAAGTCCATAAACTAAAATTGAAATAGTTATCCTTCACAATTAATTATGAACTTACACTTTTTATGCTTTGGACTTGAGTATATAATCAATACAAACTTGGTTGTAAGAAATATACTTACAAGTGTTCATTTAATTCAATTAACAGGGGAAAATATTTGTACATTTTTATTGTACACATTAATGAATGACTATACATACCAACTGTAAACTAGACCACTAGGAATTGTAAACGTATCAAAACAAAAAGTAGAATTTTAGCAAAACAGGTATCTTACTTTTTGCCCTTAACTGCCTTCTCAATAGCGGCACATTGCTGCTTCTGTATGCCCATCTTCTCTTTGGTCTGCCGCTTGCGCATCGAGTCCAGTTCCTTCTGCTGCTTTCGTCCAATCTTTTGGAACGCTTTTTCGTTCTTTAGAGATTCAAGATTGATATCTTCAAACTTAATATCCTCTGAAACAGGCAAATATTGGTTTTAGACATAGTTGTCAGTTATGACAAGCAAACACAAGCTTAGGGACCTTAAAATCAAAAGTAAAAACTCATAACTGTCAAACGTTTTTAAAGCACCATAACTGCAGTAAACAGATGACATAATTATGGGTAAGTTTGAGCGAATGAATGATTGAAAATCCTATGTTTCAAATTCAAAATATTTTGGCAATCTATTTTTGATATCAAAAATGCTCACGACAATTTAGATTCACCCCTTATAATTTAATTAGTATTTTTTTGGTTCAATACAAAAAGGTGAGATGTATTCCTAGTTTGCCAAAAAATTGTTCAGCCAATTATTAAAATAATCATCAATTAGCCTATTATTCTACCCACCTTCCTTCTTCTCGGCCGGCTTGGCTCCAGATTTCTCCGACTTGCTGCCCTTCTTGACGCCGCCTCCCTCGCCACCCCCGGCCAGGTCCTTGGTGTTGATGTCAGTCTCTTCTATACCCATGGCCTTCATCTGTTGAGCTCGCTTCTCCTGAGCGGACAAGAACGCCCTGGGGTCCGACAAGGCCGCCATGAAATCTGCAAAATGAAAGTTTGTTATGTAGAAGCATAGGAATTAATAGAGTGGATACATCTTAATTGTGAGAAAGTTTAAATATTTAATATATTTTTACTTTCAGTATTTAAATTTTTATGAAAGACATTATACTTTTGTTTTAATTGAGAGCTAGGTGAATATCCATGGGTTTTTCGTATTATACCGACCACACCTAAATTGGTAAAATTAAACCCTTAGGTTGGGTTAGGTTAGGTTAGGACGATTTTGTTATTTAAACTAATTAAAATCTTATTTGGAAGTTGATTTATTGGTGTCGTCTGTATGATACGAAAGTACCAATCCATGATTTGGAAATGTCTGAAGATAGTCAGTACAACAACATGTATTGAATTCTATACATTTTGTTTGATTCAAGGCTCTAGACCTTACAATTTCTAGAATAAAGGTGATAGTGGATTATAAAACGTCAACGTAGGCTGTTGTCCACCTGTAGAAAACACAGATCACAGTATTTCGTTCCACGGGGTATTTGTCAAGTGAAGACAAAGATTTTTTAATGGTGGTTTATGGCCTACCTGAATGTCTTAGAAAGGTAAGGTAAGCGGCTATCTCTTTAATCTTCAGATTTAACCTTAAAAATAATAAGACAAACCTCTTTATGATAATTACACCTAACCAAGCCATAAATTATCCCTGAAAAAAATTAAACTTCTCATAGAGTAATGTTGGGCACCAAAGACATTTGGCTTTTGTCAAGTATTCTTTTGATCCAAAACAATTCTAAAAGTAAGTTTATGCTGAACACTTCAATGGCAACTTTAATTTCACAACAGAATTTGTTGCTCACAAACTATTTAAAAGAGAAAACAATTTGTTCATTAGGACCTTGGAAACAGACACCAGTAATTATCTTTACACATTTAATTAACTGCAAATATAAAAAGCTAACCTTCGAATCCGTCAGGAACGTAAATCTTGAGCTCGACATTGCAGAAGAGCATAGGCAGTGACATGGGGAAGTTGGCCTCAGTACGCAGAGAGATGTGACGATAGCCTGCTTGTAGACCGTCCAGAGGTAGAATACGCTGACCTAGCAGTTTGCCGTTCTCATCGTACACTCCGAACCTGAGTACTGCCAGGTCGGGCAACACAACCTGCATGACAGAGTTTGTAAAGTTGGCAATAACAAGTTCAATCAATTAGTTCTTGCTGTTGCTGACACTATAAAAAACAAGAAAGTCGCTTTAACTAAATTAAATTATTGATCTAATATTCCTCTCTCAGATTGGATGATCAAATATTTTATTCACTAATGTTTCAATTCTAATTTTATGCAGGAACCTGTTTTGAGGCTTAGGCTTCCATCAGCTCCTCATCGTACAAGGTGATAAACGTTGTAAAACGATAAAGACTTGATAATAGCCTAAAGGTTGAATCGTGTTTGCAGTAGTTAGAAAAGGAAATAAAAGTAAATGAAGTATTCAACAAATTTTGTTCAGAAACAAGTTTTCAAGATTAATTTATTTTTTTAGGTTATGTGTTGGAAAAACACTACAAAAACAAATTAAATATTGAAATGTCAAGGAATTTTGTATTTTTGTAGCAAAATAGGTTTTGCGATAAATCAAACTAAAATACTGGAGTTTACACAGCCCATGTGTGAGTAATAATTTACGAGTAAACAACCAAATCCTAAAAAAAAACTTAACATTATTAGAAAATATATCCCAACAGCACAGAGGTTGCAGCACCAATATTCACTTTACAGTATAAACTTCACATTTTAAGTCTCTCAAAAAATTTTTTACTGTGGTCTTTTTTTCTAAAGAGGGTTTGGGAGTCGAAACCACTAAACTGTTTCTGTAGCTCCCAAGGTAAGTTAAATATTATTTAACTAGTTACGATTCCCAACACTTACTTTTCTGAAGAGGAACGGCTCCTCGTTGTAGACAGGGTTGAGCCCGTTGCTCGGCACCATCCGAGTGCGGAACTCTTTCCTGATGGTGTCCGTAGGCAGACCGTACATGTCCACTTCAACATACGTCCCTACCTTCTTGTCCGACAAGAACTGGCCGGCTATCACCTGACAACATCATGTTATTAGAAACTTCTTTACAAAATGATCCTAGAAAACACAGCCCAGAAGAACTACAAAGTTGTCATTCTTTGATTAAATTGAAATAAATGCCTGACAAACATTAAACAGCTGACAAATAATTTATAAATTGCGTATTAGATTCTTCAATACAAATTGTATTGACTCAACCTTTGAAGAGCTGTAGGTCGTAGCCCTTAGAAAATACGTAAATTCTAAGGAAGTTGGGCTAATCTACGTGTTATCCCCTTTAATTTTAAACATAAATCTTGTAGATCGGTCCAGTAATGACTAAGAAAACAGACTTACTTTATTGTAAATCTTTGTTGTTTTATTTTGTTAATGTTTTATTATTATTGTTAGTTTTTTAGAGGTAAACTGTTAGGACCGTGAGGTCCTAAGTTCGCCTCAATAAAGAAGGATTTTCATTTCATTTCACTTACAACTGTGTATTAATATATAGATAATGTGGTAAATAACACTATAAACTTGGTCTTCAAGGTCTGACCATTTCACAGACAAACTTAAAAAGACGTAAACTTATGTATGACACAGTTGGGCCCTGAAGGCCAAGTTTGTAGTGTGAGTGTTAAGGTATTTTGTCACTGTTTCAATAAGGTAAATGGTAAATCTAAAGTTTTTAATGTTTTTTATAATTTAAATAGGGAAGGTGTATGATTAGTAAGATAGATAACGCTAGAGAGAGATAAGTACATAACAATCACATATATCTTAAATCTTAATGTCTCTTTACAATCTCTAAGACTATTTTAAGGTTTTCTTAATCAGTCGGGTAGCCATTGTATTTCTTTTGGATAGTAACTTAGATAAATAGCCCTTTCAGCTCGGATGGCCAGTATTCTAGCAGATAAAAAGTGGGTTTTTCCACTACGTTTGTTTGGGAGGTGTGATACCTAGTAAGCAGCTTTGAACTAACATCTAAGTCCAATCATGCTGGTTTGTAAACTCGTCAGAGCTGGTGGGAGTAAAATGCTAAGGAGACTAAGAGCTGAGCTGATGAACGGAGAGAGGCAGACAATAGCTGTGCGAGCAGCCGAGACAGTTGATCTTAAACAAATTCTGCGCCGTTTATGTTAATATTGCGGCCATTACAACGGGCCATCCAAGCTCAAGGGTTAATTTAAGTTCTTTGTAGATTCCGCTCTGATGAAAACTTATACCAGTTCAATTTAAATTAGGAAGATATATAAAGAAGGGAAAACCTAGCATTCATTTTTTAAACCTAGGCATCTATTAGATAATAACGTTTTTCATTCATTACTTTTAATATATAAGTATTATCTAAGGAATTTTAATAACTGTTATCACTTCTTAATCTAAATCTGTACAGTGAATTACCTGTACAGCGCACTGGGCAGCGATGACACCGTCTACTGGTGATTCTGCAAAAGGATCGAAGCTTCGGTCCGCTCGTCTCATGAAGTCTGGCTTCAACAAGTAGCCACAGTTGCCGTTGTATTCAAACTTACCCTGCACAGATAATATTAAAATTAAGAAATAATGTGTAAAGTAGTATCTTACACAAGTAGTATTTATATTGAATGTAAGAGGCTTACAAAATGACCGAAAACTAGTTTAAAAATCCATACAGAGGCGATTTGACTTTAAATTTTTTACCTGGTTCAACTGCATCGGAAGATCTGATGTTTGAAAGTTTAGTGACACCATTTGGCAGCCAGCATTCCAGAATACCTGAAAATACAAAGAAAGTTTATTAATATATCATGAACACTTACAAAAAAAATTAAATCAAATATTTACATATATTTTACGTTAGAGAACTCCTTCTCTGTTATCTCTATTTCAGCTAAACTAAGCGTAGGAAAATTTTGTTGGATTCAGTTAAACTCATGACATAACATGGTGTATAGTAAACAGTACAATATCAATTTCAACACTTCAACATAGCCTATTAAATTTTTACATTTTTTAAGCTCAACAAATGGTTTCAAATTGTATTGCAAAATTTGATATTTGGAGGGTTCAAAAATTGGTAAATCCAATTTTACCCAATAAACAAGTTTGTACAAAATTTCAAATACGTTGAGAAATAGAAATAAAAAAATTAAATCTGTATTAATTTCCCTAATAGTATGAAATTCACAAAAAAGTTTTTTTCAAACTTTCTATTGCTATAACATAACTAAAGCCCATTATAAATTTCCTGGAGATAAAATTTAACAAAAAAAAAAAATCCTAACGACCATAAAAAGTTATTTCCCAAGAATAGTTAAGTTCGCACCTGAGGCATATAGTTGGAGGAATCAGCACGTGTGCCTTTGGGGTAGATTCTACTCATCTGTCGCTTGTTGTAGTTGACAAACTCAATAGCTTGAGACTTGAGGTAACCGAGACCAGTTGTCTCAGCAAACGAACTCATGTTATGATGGATGTTCTTATCTGTAAATACAGTTCAGATAAGTAAATGGTGTAAATTAAAACTGTTCCCTACAGGTATTTCTATATTGATTCGTCTTTGCCCACTTATAGGAATAAATCAAGCTAAGAAATATCTACCACAAAATTTTAGATATTGTGTTGACTATTGTTACTAAATTTTCTTGTTTTCTTTGAGAGCAAACTGTAGTTTAACTTGTCCAATACCTACCTTTACTAGAAACAACAAAAAATACTAAAAACTACTATGGTCATAATTTGCTGGAATATTGAGGAGACATTATCCTTACCGCCAAACTGTATCATACAGAGCTTATTATGGTATCCAAACAATAATAAAATTCCATAACTTACTCTCGGCAATATCGAATCCCTGGAACTTGATAGGCTGAGCGTAGTTGACCATGGACGACAGCCAAGGATGTACATTAGTGGTGGAGCCAGTGTACTGTATAGGGACGGGAGGAGCGTCTCCAGCTGCCTCGGGGACCGCCTGGGCCTCAGCTGCTGCTAACTCCTCCAGCTTTCAACAACAATCATCAACAACGGACCAAAATCAATATAACCTCAACATTTTTTGTTACCATCCGTTCCTCTGCTCGATTGTAAGCTTTACAATGACACTTCAATCGTAAAAATCTATTTGAATTGGACAAAAGATAAAGATGTGTTGCAGAGAAAACCCTCACTTCATTAAGTATTAGATTTTAACAATACAAATTGTGGAAAGAATTAATTTTAAAACAGACCTTTTTGTTGGGGTCTACAGGTGCTGTAGCATCTTCTTTTTCCTCATCCTCGATGACAAACTGTCCCTGTCTGAAGAGCTCCAATTCCTGCTTCTCTACTTCAGGCTTCAACCGCTTGTTTTTGATCATGATCTTGCGTTTGAGAGCACTCGGTGGTGGCAACGGAGCTCCTGGTTCCAACTGAAATATTGACCACCGTGATTCAATCAATCAAAATAACTTCACAGAGAATATTGTTATTGTTGTTACTTGCTGTACTTTATGATTGACTACTTTATTCACAGACACTTCGTTAACCAAAATGCTCAATAAGCCCAATTTAATTTTCAAGAGCTAAGGAGACAAACGTCATTAAAAAACGTTGTAGATAAAGTAGTGTCAGTAACTCCCATAATTAGAAGACTCCTTGAAGTTTATAAGGCACTTGCCAAATCTAGTGCCTTCATAGTTGTTGGAAAAGTTAGTAAAAAATTCTATCTAGTTAGAAGTTATTAGTTAGTAAGTTAAATTAAAACTTGTCAGATAATGAACAACAACTGAAGACAATGTTTTGACACTTGAGATCATATATCAATCACCTAACTTATACTTACTTATAAGTAATTATATTTGTATTTGCGTAAGTATATTTGTTTTTGTTAATGAAACATTCCCCCTTCCCACCCCTCAGTGCTTGGAGTGTTGATAATGGCCGTCACTGCCCTTCCACAGGCCCACTGCATTCCAAAGCAACTGGACTTTGACTTTCTCTTTCCCTACCCCTGCGTTGTTTGTCTACAAGGGCGCTGACCTCTCACTTCCGCACGCAACCCTCACTGATCACGTGAAATAAATACCAGTATTTGAGATGCTTTGAAATGGGAAAGTTAGTTAAAAATTCAAACTAGTTAGAAGTTAGAAGTGATTAGTTAGTCCCGTAAAAAGTAACAGATAGAAGTTATTAGTTAGTCCCGTAAAAAGTAACTGATAGAAGTTATTAGTTAGTTAGCTTAAAAACTAATGAATAAAATAGAAGTTAGCCAAAAAAACTAACGAATATTGCTATTCGTTAGAATTTCTATTCGTTATTCCCAAGTATGAGTGCCTTAAATTTCTACTTGTGTCGATATAAATATCTTTATACGATTGTTGCGTAAACTACTACTAAACTACAAACTGCAGAAACAAAAAAGTCCCTTACCGGCCACTCAGGTAGCGGTTCCTTCAGCAAAAGATCGCCCAAAATCTCGTCACAATACTTAGCCAACTTGTACTGCTGGCTCTTGCAGCAGTGGTTCTCAAACGACAGGATGATGGGGTAGTCCGTGGTGACAAATGCAGTGTCTCGCAGAGCGTAGATGACGTCCTTGAACAATATGTCGGTACACATGGCCTTGCCGTGGGTGATGATTGGTTCTTCATCTTCTCCTTTTCCATCCCAGCAGTCCAGCTCCACACACCTTGCCATAGAATAATATAAAGTAGTTAGTAGGAGTCAGTAATAGGAAGGGTTAATGGAATTGGTAGTAATTCATGTTAGGAAAATATAACATTTGGGTATAGCTAGTCTGGTTATTAGTCTGATATATTAATTACCCAAAGTCCTAAGTTCGAATTCTGCCAATCACCAAAGGTGTTTAGCTAATAATGCTACCACTTTAAGCTTTAAATATTTTAAGAACTCCATCTAGCCAGGAAAAATGTCTCTAAAGTGAGTATTTCTGTATAGGACATAACCCAACACTTTAACATGAAAAATAAATAAGTCTATTTAAAAATTTAATTGTATCACACCTGACTTATTTGAAAATTAAGTAAGTAAATATTATCTTTCTTCTGAGCACATGTAAAAGCCATTAAATTTTAATCGAATAATGGAGATTAGACCAAGAATAAATAATACTCTAGGTTTCAAGTGGCTAGCAAACACAGACTACTTTTTATTTTTTGTTTGTTCTAGGTCGGTAGGCTGTAGCCCAGGATCGTTCACACTACTTTAGGCTAGGGTTGTGGCTATCACATAGATAAAATCTATTGGTTATTGGTGGGATTTGAACCTAGGACCTCAGGTACAGAAGTCCCACGCGCTACCACTAGACCAGCTTTCTCCTTGACACCGATAACAATAAATTTCTGCGTTAACTTACAACTTCCATCTATGTACTCAGTACCTGCAGCCAGCCAGCAGCACTTGTCGGTACATCTCGACGGACGACTTGCCACCGAACTGTCGTCCGGAGAGGTAGGTGTTGTGGGAAGAGTTGATGTAGTAATGGGCCAACGGCTGGTCCATGTCCATGTAGAACTCCAGACGGTCCAGGAACACAGGGGCGTTCTCATCTGACATCAGGTAGCGGATGAGTCCGTCCTTGGTCAGTTTCTCTGTAACATGGTATGGTTGGTGATGCCTGGGAGTTCCAGAACAAAGGTGTTCCAACCGTTTGATACCATTCACGGTAATAAACTGAACTTTAAATATTTGGTGCAGAAGAAAAAGGAGTAAGGGGAGGGTCGTGGAATTCAAAAAAATTGTTATTCCATTATGTAGACAAAATGTGAAATGTACCTAAGTCTTATAAGACTCGCTTCTGATGGCACTAGAAGACTCGCTTCCTTATTATTTTTCAACTGGAGGTAGAACTGAATTGAAGAGGCAAAGATAGTAATAAATAGTTATAGGGCCGAAACCTTCATTTTTCAACAATTTGTTTACATAAAAAAATCAAACTTTGATCGGCCGTATCCCAGTTAATAACGAACCCACAAAATTGTTTTACCAACCAATATTTTGCAAATTCTATGCTCTACAACTTTGTATCGCACAATGGCAAACAAAATATGCTTAATTTACAACATATACACAAAAGACATAAAAAATTAAAAAATACCAAAGATTTTGAAGTTTTTGGCCCCTCTCAAAGTTAGCACAAGGTACTAGAGATTGAAAACTCCCCCCAGGACAAAACATTAAAATTCCATCAACTTTGGAATGCTCTCTAGCTACCCCCACTTTTTTCATTATATCGACTGGTCATTTTAGAATTTTTTTACATTAAAAATGTGTAAACTGAGTAACATTCATAAATCATACACTGCGTAAGTATTTAATTATTGAATTATAAATGAACAATTAATATTTTATGAATACAGTCAATTTTCAAGAGTACTTCAACTTTTTTCCAATCAGTTAGCACAACATCTTTTACAAATAAAAGGAACAATTGAAAAAAAAAATAGTTATAAATGAATAGAAATTATCAGCTTGCAGGATGTTAGTGGAAGTGCCTATCTAACTTTGATAATGGAGCATATTTTCAGTGAAAACTGTGCTCACATGATCAAACTAATTGATCAAGATTGTGATAAAAAATTCAATTAATTATCAGAGTGTGGATTTCTCATTTAGAGGTATGAATGCAATGGGTTTTTCCTATAAACTCCACACCTTGAATCTAAAATAACAGCTGTCTATGACTAACTGCAACATACATTTTCCCCATAGTAGCAATTCTTCTAGTAGCAATAGCCTTACTACTATACCCCATAGAAGCTCATATATGTAGATTCTTACTTTCTGTCTTGGCTTCATCATTCTGTTCGTAGGTGTTGATGATCTCAATTGCTCTCTTCTCATCATACAGTGGATACAGGATCTCATTCAGCCTAGGATCTCGCTGTTTCTCATTCAGAAAGTTGATGAATTGATCAATGTTGATAGTGTCGGCTTTACCTTGTGTGCTGTGAAACAAAATCTGGGTTGATAAGATTGTAAGAAGAGCAAAACTGTTTTCTAAGGTCAACAAAATTAAAAATTTTTAGTCTTAAAGATTATCCAAAAATGTTAATTAACTCATATCTTTTGTTCCCAAATGGCAAAAGATATCCTTAGGTTACACCGAAGCAATTAGCAAAAGAAGATAAGGGGAAAACAAAAATAACAAGGACAAGTTTTGGTAGTAAAAAGAAAAGTTGCTTGTGCATTAGTTTGTATATATATGGAATTGTTTCTTCCAAAACAATAATTATTGTATACATAAATTACAAGAAAAACTTACATTTGCTGGAAAAGCTCCTCAATATCATTCCTTGGGCAGATCTTGTGGTACAGTTCATAAAACTTGTCAAACGTGAAGTCTCCTGGTTCAATTACATCATTCTGAAATAAAAATTGATTAAAATTACATTTTGAAAAATACAATCCACAATGTTCACTATTAAATGCTTAATTAAGTTACATATTATCAATTCAGGATAAAGCATTGATTAATTTAATACATCTCTTAAGTCTCTCTTAAAATTTATCAACATATTAAACGGACTAAGTTACTCGTGACCACCATAAAAAAATTACTAAATTGATTCGGTAAGTTAAGTTTATTTTTAGCAAACCCTCGAAAAACATATTGGTTTTAATAAATAAAGTTATTATTAAAGTTAAGTATTTCATGTAATCACAAACTATAAATTGCAACCTAAATTGCTTACACTGTGATATCTTATGTCTTATTGACTACCTTGTTAGATAATGAGCTGATCTAAAATAGTTTAGTTTAAACATTTCATTTAATAAACTGCTTAATATATCACTATATTTTAAGTTAAATACTGAACATAACCCAACATATTTATCAATCTAACAACCCGATCAATTTGGGCTAAACTACTACCCTCGTGATTAGGGTCTCAGATTTTGGTGCAATAGATACGGGTATAATTCTAAACATGTCCATAAATATTTGAAGATTTAGACTGCTTTCCCTCAAAAGCGTAAGAGTTTGTGACATAAGAATTTTTTTATAATTAATAACTATATATAATTAGTATAGTTAGTTATAATATGTTTAAATGGTGTTTGAGAGATTATTAAGTGTTTAAAGAAGCTCTTAACCAACTCACTTTTCCACTGGGCAATCCCAAGTCAGATAGACACTGGTACACCAACTTCTCTGTTTTACCAGAAGCGAACGTTCGAGCCACAACTTTGACCGGAACTTTCCCATTCTTCTCCACCAACATGCCGAGTCTCATCCAACTAAAAAAGGTTTTAATTCAGCGTTTCAAAAAGCAGGTTTCACGTACGGGTATTAAATGTATTTAAGTTACCATAGTCATACTTCCGTCATTAAAATAATTTAAAAGTCAAATGGTGCCAAGCCAAATTTACCACTAGGCCATAACGTAAGGAAAAAGTGGCTGCCACGTTTTGTGCAAAAACTTTTTTTTTTAAGTCTCTTTTGACAACAGTTACAACATATAAAACACAAAAGTTTCTTTTAATAAGCCACGATCATGAGTGACAAAAGTCATGAGTGACGTTGAACTGGAGATTGTGGAAGAGGCTCTAGATTTGACAGCAATCGGGGGAAGATCTAGCAAAGGGTCAATTTAACCTAGGGTCACAAGTACTCTAAATCCAGCACTATAATCAAAAGTAATAAGGATATCAACTACTTAAGGTTTTTAAAATTGAGGTTTTTTATTGAAAGTTTGAACTGAAGCTAAGATTTAAGTTAAAAACTGCCTATACAATCAAAAGTCTAATTTTCATTGCTGAAAGTTTTACTTTGATAGTTTGAAAGCAAATAATTAGAAATAGTATCAAATATTTATTTGTTTATGTCGGCAAAATCCAAAAACGATAGTAAACATTACTTTTGCATAGTAAACATTCTTTTTGCTTGGTAAATGAATTTTCCCAGGTGATAAATATATATCAAAAACAGGTGACTTCACAGTATTGTATTTTCATTTTTGGAAACTTAAGTCCTAACAGAAACCACTACAGTGTCCAAATATATTTAACAAACTATAGATTTTGAAGAGAAAGATGCATCTCATCAATAAAGTTTTTATCACCTATTCAGGAAAGCAGGCTTACCTTTAAATAAGTCCATAGAGACACATAAAACATCACAAAATTAAAAGTAGAAATTTTCGTGGTCACTGACCACTTTTTCAACCACTGGAGATTGGAGAAAAAGTGGTTGAAAAAGTAGTCAGTGACCACGAAAATTTCTACTTTTAATTTTGTGATGTTTTATGTGTCTCTATGGACTTATTTAAAGGTAAGCCTGCTTTCCTGTCAATTTCCTTAATAATTCCTGGCAAATGCCCTATCTTTTTATAAGATTATCACCTATTCAACTGGTATAAGCCTACAATTATGACAGAACCATTATCATACTGAGCAGAACACTGACTATGGATGAATACAACACCTATTGTTTGGTGTCAATCTGGCATTCTGCCAATTATTCAAATTAGGCAGATGGGCGTAAAACTGACATAAACAGAACAGCTGACGGCACAGCTGTCTAATATGTAACTGTTGTAACAATACGAAAATGTTGTTCAACAGAAAATAAGCCTGAACATAAGTTTGTTGGACGTTCTTTTAGAATACTCAATAGAATAATTTGAACAATGTAACCAGATAAACAATTTTGCAACAGATGATCCAATTTTGTTTTATTTTTGCAGCTTTTTAAAATGTCAAACAGTACCGACATTACTTTGAGCAGCCAAAAGAAAATTTCTCCTTTCATTACTTGAACCTTTACCCAATCTAAAATCCTTTTTGCACTTTGTTTTACTAGTTTTCCTCTATAACTTCAATCACTCCTGATTATGAATTGAATATACATGCATTACAGGAAAGTAGAAGAGACATTTTTATTTTCCATTCATGTATGAAATATGCTGTTTTTCTTTCTTACACACAAACAATTGTATCATACCAAACTGGAAAGCTAATTTATTGGGTAGAATAAATTATTTTACGTCATGATCTACTAAAAATGTATGAAGACTTAAAAATAAAGAAAACTTTAATAGTATCATATCCCATTAGGGGCTCAGTTATATTTTTTGGGTGAAAACGTTAGGCCCCTACGGCTGGGGTGTCTACTTAAGTACAAAGTTAATGATTTTGGTAAATATAAGGAGTCAAAACACTGAGATGTCCAATTTAAACATGGTAAATCAAAATTGATTACCAAAACCCTACACACATCAAAATTTTACTTACTGTATCCAGCTGTTTTGCAAAAATAAGACTACAAACATGTCAAATAACATAGAAAACATGTGAAGTATTTCCTGGAAGTTATTTAAAAATACATGCATAAACACTATAGCCCATAATGTAATGGTAAAAAATAGATATCAGAAATACTACAGCATAAATGAGTTATCAGATGCTTGCAAGTTTTCAGAATAAATCACGTAAAGTAATGAAATTGTCAAAAAATTTACTTGAGGCCTTTTTCATTGAGCTAAATGTTCTTTTGAAATATTTAAATGTTGAGAATCACACAATTTATTTTTTTTTTTTTTATAATTTAGATATTTAGGATAAAATGTAAAAAAATATTTAATGTACAAACTTATGTATATCAGCAAAAACAAAATTGAAACCTCCGAACACTTATGTGGCCTGTCCAGCTTTGGCTCAAAAAAGGTTGAAATCTTTGGGGAGGCTGCAACTGGAACCTGAAGAGATAAGAAAACTGGGCGTCTCACAGCAAAACTGAGGACTGTCAGACTCGAGTAGCGGGGTGCTACAATAGGTCAAAAGGCTGACGTATCTAGGAGTAGGATTACCCCAAGCCCCCCCCACCTCCCAATAAAAAACTTATTTTCTATTTTATTACTACGTAGGCCTAAGAGTCTCATTGCAAGCATCTGGTATAAGAAGACGGTTTCAAAAATATTTACTTCCTTTAAGGTGTTTTGTTAAAAGAGAACAGAAGGTTGAAGAAAACTAACTTGCCACTGTCTGGCAAAGTAAGAGGTAAAAATGAAAAATGTTAACTGTCCACAAATAGGGGACATCTAAACGGAAAAATAAACTATCGGTACAGGATCCAAGTGTTTTCGTTCCATCTACGGTAATAGCTTCTAATCTTCCTTATAGGAAAATTTGCTAAAAACAAATTATCTCAGCAACAAAGGTAAATATGTGAATTTTTATCACCCTGCATAGCCTACATATTCAGTTTAAAATATAGGCCTACACAAAGTATTCCACTGTCTGACTTTTTGCATAAATTATCAAGGTTTTGTGGACATTTAACATTGTCTAAGGAACCATACTACAACTCATGCACTACGAGACTCACTGTTTCATTAAATTGGTCCGAGGGCATACATTGTTCATCTTGTTATTATGGGTAATCTTGCGCAAGCCTTCCTGCCATGTCTGCCATCATGCAAAAGAAAATTAACTAAATCAAATGATGACGGGCGCAACAGTAAAACAAAATAAAAAACAAAAATGTGCAATTGAATCATGCAAGAAATAAATATTTCTTAAATATTTTGCACAAAGAGGTGGTAAACCTAGATGGAAATAAAAAGATCAAGGAGATTATCTGTATATAGGGTTAAAAACATGCTTAGTAGAACATAGAAAATGTGGAAACACATAAATAAACAAGCTAAAGGTTAAGATAGAAACAAACTGAAGTGAAAATGTGACATTGAAAACTATTTTAGCCCCCAACGTTACTTTGTGATACAATATCTTTGTTGCAATAGTTGTTAAATTTCAGAGTCTTCAATGCCTAAACAAAATGTATATATTCAGCAGTGTGTAATAGATATTTCATCCGAGGTTTCATGGTTATTCACATATATCTGAATGGTTTAAAAGTTTTTGTTGAGGTATAAGTCATTATACATAGACACAATGCATAAGGAAAACATTAAGATTATTCACAATCAAACTTATCAGACTAGATAAGCCCTTACAATAAGTTGGTTAACTAAGCATAACTGGCAGGTAGTCTATACCATGTCAAGATCTTGGTATATCATTAGGCTATGTGTCATCAAGAATTTTATTCACTATATGGCAATGATCCAACACTGGTATTTTTTTTTTTTTTTTTTTTTTAAGAGGTTGGCGGCCTCTTTTAACCTTGCATTTGCCCGTCCACATAGACTAAGCGCCTGTGCGTGGATCGTTTACAGCAAAGCAAGGAGTGAGCCGGTACAGTACAAAGGTGAACTGTAGGACTGATAAATTTTAGTGGCAGTGACCAGGATCCAAACCCACGACATCGCTGCCTTGGGCCCAAAGTCCGCGACGCTACCGACTGAGCCACCGACTCACAAATATGTATATATGAGTTGTGAAATCCATGTAACATCATGTCTTTTACTTTTAACAAATATTTCAAAAAAAATTTTGGTGACAGTAAAAAATTTAGCCTTATGAACGTTAACGCCTGAAATATAAAACCTGGTGCACAACTTAACCCAGTGATGAGTTAGCCTACCCTCATAAGTAAACAGTTTTAAAATACAATGCAAGGTATGGCATACTCCTAAAAATAAGTAGGGCCTATATGCCCTGATGGATTCAAAAATATGTAGAACATAAAAAAGTGTTGATATAATGGTTCTTTAAACCCCTTTTTTCTAGGAGAGATGAAAGTAAACTGTTTTCATTACAGAAAGAAACTCTCCCTCTGAAACAGACATCGTCCATCTTCCAAGGAAATGAACAAGACCAAGGTTCTTAAAGAAGCAAATCATTTTAAAGAGAGCTGTAATTTGAAAGTTCTGTTTTTTCACCCAAAGCCTAGCCACCCATTTAAAAAGTAGCCTAAGTGAATTACTCTTTTGTTTATTAACATTTTTAGCTGGCTTTGTACACAATGTTGTGTAGATTTTAAAATTAAAAACCACCCTGAAAAAAACACCTTGAGACTTCCCAATCACATAAAAAAAATAATAACTCCAAAACTCATCAAAACCAAAGCACACCTCAGCTAACGATGAATCTAGGATTTACATGAGATGAATAAAAAAAATTGAAAACAAGTAAAACAATCGATGAACACAGATTTACAACATTTCATGCTTCAAGGGAAACATCCTGTCCTAGGTCTAGTCTATCAAGGACAACGGACAACCATGCTGCGACTTACTGTTTATTCAGACAGGTCATGGGGCAAACATTGTTAGCTTTAACGTTGTGGGTTATTTGCCTGAGTCCGTCTAACCAAGCCTAAACAAATACAAACACTGAACTGTCACAATTCTTGTGCTGAACCAATGTCCATGCATTTTTATTCAGGATTAAGCGAGTGGCTGAAAACTGCCGCTGTTCAAAACATATTGTGGATCTGCAAAAGTTACGGATTTTGACACGGTTAGACAATTACGTATTAAACAAAACAATTTTAACCAGTATCAAAATTATGTTAATTTTCACCATGGTTGGAAATAAATTTTTGTGTTTATTTTAGCCTGGTGACTAAATGTACCTATATTTATTTACTGGCAATGTTATTATGAAGGAAATAATGTTGTGTGTATTGTGTCGTTTTACCTACCTCAACCAGCCTATCTATCGCCTATCAATCACCTATTTTATCTATCAATAAACAAGCCTATTAAAAATAATTTGCATAATCTGCTTTGCCTCTCATTAAAATTGAACTGTAGTTAATGTTCCAACCGATGGTAATCAGCTGTTAAATTAGTACAATTCACATCTGAAACCGGCAAGGCAAGTTGGTCTGCAAATCTGGGCCTTTGAAAGCAAAATCTAGAAATTAATCAAAGGCTAAGGTGCAAAGCTCTAAAGGAAATAACCTTTTTAATTACCCTTTGCCCTTCTGCTAGATTATAAGCTTTAAAATGACACTTCAATCATAAGAATCGGTTAAATAGGACGGGTGAAAAAGGGATGTTACACAGAAAATCTATTAGCCTAGATAGATATTGAAAGGCAAATTATTTGAAAACTGTTTTATTTAAAGCTGGGGCCTACACAATGAAGTTTCTGATTGTTAGTGCCTATAGCTGGTACTCAGTGAATTTGTACATCATGTGTTTGTTATGAGTGCTATACTGATTTAGTGATCGAATACCATGCATAAGAAAGTTAATGTTAATGAAGCGGTGAGGTTTGTCGCATGTGTAGAAACAGTTTTTTAACACTTCTAAAAACTTAACTAAAAAATTATGGTAACCAAATTTTTTTGCTTATTGCTTTGTTGGTCATTGCTTTGCTATTGTGATTTAATTTGTAAACATTTAGATTGACGGGATAAGATTGTCAATCGTACATAATACATCAAGAATGTCCCTCCAATTTTACAGCTGTTTTAACTTCTTACTTTGGTTTACGATTAGGCAATAATTCTACAATCTGATCCAACTGTATAATTATAACCCTGATAAATTATATTTTTAAAATAGTTAAAAAATACTTGGTCAGAGAGGGTTAGAAGAACAAATCATTGAAAGAGCAGCTGAGTTTACTTAAAACAATTCAAATTTCAAACTAAATTTCTTTAAACATTTTACCACATAAGTTTGATCGTCCAAAAATCAGATAGGTAGTTAATTCCTTTAGTCCTTCAACAACAAATGCGAAAAAATAGTTCGAACTAATTCAGCAACACCCCTAGTTCACAAACAGTTTCAAACAACTTTTTAATTGTTGTATTTGATAGATATTTTGTGGCTTTTATTATTTAAATCAAATCAATCCCTTACCTTGGCAGTCGCCGCATCAGGGCAAATCACATGTTGATAGTTGATATTTATGTAGTCAGTTCCACTACAGATTGTGAGAGATTTTTCCTCTAAATTTTCCCCATGCTTGTTCACTAACTGCTGAAGTAGGCGAGAATCCTAAAACATTAACAAAATTAATAATGGAAAATTGTGTTTTCAAGTGCTATTAATTCTATCGATGCAACATTTTCTTGTTTATATAGACTTTTAAGCTCATATCATACGAGCGCTATTGCCGTCGCGCAGATGCCGTCGAGATAAAACCTGAAAAAGTCCATAGTAGGCCTATTATTAGAAGAATTCAAGACGATAGGGATCCCATTCTTCACGTCTGTCGCCGGACAGTTTCATCTGATGTTCCAGGACCACAGGAAGTATGAAAAGATATTCTTTTGTTACTATCGAATGTCAGTTGATTATTTTGCTGAACTCCTTACTGCCTTGTGTGAGAAAATAAGAAAGCCAGACACAGTGATGATGATAACTCTGAAAAGGTCTTCCAGTTGATCTGCCAGTAGTGGGTGGCAAATACGTACCGCTAGCGCTCCGTATGACCGGGTCCCATGTCACTAGCGTCGCGTTGCTAATGCGACCGTCTACGTTACACAGCGCTCAGCGTCCGGCTGAATGCGGACTCGCCAACGACATCGGCGTCTGTATGACTAGCTTCAGTAGAGCCTCAATTCCGGGTTGGAGCGGCATCAACGCGGCGGCAATAGCGCTCGCATGATAAGGGCCTTAGAAAATTTAAAATCCTTCACAATCAGGATGAGACAATAATAAGGAATGACTTGATCAAAATTATATTATGTCATAATATAAAATCTCATATTTACAACTCTGCCGATATGTTTTAAGCTTTCAGAAATTATAGATTAAAGAACTGTAGGGGCCTACTGTAGGCCTACTACAAAAGTATTTTAAAATCCATAATATAGTTAATTTAGACATTAGTCTTCAGGCAAAACTCATTGATTACTTACTTTTGGTAAACCACCGGCGCGAATATCACTAACTTGACACAGCTCAATAACATCTCCTTCCTGAAAAATAGTGTTTTATGTCAAGTCAAACTAAGGACCGAGAATCACGCACAATCCAATCAAATCTACACAAAATCCAATGCCTATCCAAACTAATATACATTTTGATTAACATACTCTTTTCATTTTTCAAACAGAAACTACATATGATGTCATCTACAAACAAGTTTTTTTTATGTCACAACTTTATATTCTAAAATACTAGAATCTATCCCGGAACTGTTTTGTACATTACTGCAGGCTAGTCCTAGAGGGTCGTGGCATTATCACACAGACAAAATCCATTGGTGATTGGCAGAACTTGAACCTCAATCTCCGAAGCCCCGCGATCTACTACTAGACCAGCTGCCTACCAGAATTGATTAGGATGCATTTTGGTTTCCTTTGACACACTCGTAACAAAGCAATCATAGTTTAAATACTACACAACTTGTTGTCTGAGTTTCAACTCCAACACATGACGGAGGACAGATTTTATCTATAAAAAAAACTAAACATTGAGTAAGCTTTCTTAGTTACCTTTCCATCGCTTTTCCAAAAAATGAAGAATCCATACTCGTCAACCTTGAACATGCATGCAGGTTCAGACTCCGAGGAATCCTTCTCCTCTTGCCAGCGGTCAAAGACGCATCCCTGGAGGAGGGGTTCAGGCACAGGGATGTGCCAGTTAAATTCAAACTTCTTTGTCATGGTTGCTGCTTAATCCAGGCTGCTTCCTGAAATCATCAGTTTAAAAGTAATTGATCACAGCATATGCTAGCACTATGAGATAATATTGTGACAGCTATGGGGAGGGGAAGCCACAATCACGACTAAGCCTAGGTATGGTTTGCGGGTGATGCGCTATGGGACCGAGAGACAATCGCACCCCTCTCCACCTACCTTGAGGGTTTTTTCTCTTTTCGCTAACAACAAGCCTAAAACCACTTGTGCCCGAGCCCGCCTGGCCCGGCGGCACTTATCGCAACCCTTGATCCCTTAATTTCTCACTCCTACTGCTCTCCTGAGGACCCGACTGTCCCACCGTCTACAATGTTATCTGAATTGCACGGAATGCTGACACCTCTTGTCAGCAGAGCAATAAAGCAACACAGATTCCTTGCCACAACCAAACTATCAAAAGTTATTGCAACCAAGGCATGTACCGAATACTTTGTGACACAACAAAACACAAATAAAGTTGCTAAATAATGCTAGCCAGTGGAGCATCACTTTTTTGCCCCTATTGGTTATGGTTCAAACTTACTACAACTGCAGGGTTAGTATCCAAAAAAATTCATCCTGGAAGACTTTCACCGTTACAACAAACAAGATAAACTTACACAAAATCACATAACATGTTCCAAGTTATAGGCTATGTTATGTTTATAAACATAAGCATTTTATTGCATAGGTAGAGGTTAATTTTCATTAGGCTATAAAAATTCAGCCTCTAAATTAGGCCTAATTGTTAGGCCTAGGCCTAATAATTTCTTAAAATCTTGTTCGCTGAGAAGGCCTGAAGAAGGATGGATAGTAAACTTATATATTGGTACATACAGTAGTGGTGGTTTTCATATTTTTGCGATTCTGTTGACCCTGAAAGTGGTGGTTTTTTAAACTAAGTTATCTCCTAAAATGTTATTTTAGAATATTATAAGACGAAAACCGTTTTATATACAAACCCAAAATTGAAATCAAAGGTTAAGAGACAAGAGAGAGGTTCAGATGGGAATATGGACAGGACAAGTCTAACATGTAGTTGTAACAACAACCCATGGAATTAGTAGGTAAGGGGTGGAAGTTGTGACGTTTTCCTGTTGCCAACATACGTTTATTTAGGCCTAATATGTCTCTTTTATTAGATTACATTACATCAATAAATAAATTATTGTCTAGGAAGCTGAGTGGTTAAAATAACTTAGTGTTTGCCTTCAAACCTGAAGGTGTAGAAATAGGTGTAGACCTATTTCATGACTTGAATAAAAATGTAGGTTTAAGCTTAAATCTTTACTTAAAACCCTAACTTACCAAACAAATGAAATACAAATTGATTTGTGTGATTAGCACTTGTTAAAAATTAAGTTTTAATTTTCGGCCAAAGACATCTCTGTCAGACATAAAGTTAATGGATGTTTTTGGTAGGTTTGGAGTTAGACCTAGCATTAAGTTAATAAAATAACTTATAAGTTACTTTAGAGAACCAATTAGCCTAAATGAAAAAAATGTGAGAAAATAGACACTGTCTAACTTATTAACTTAATTTAGGTAATCTAAAAAATAAACATAGTCATGAATAGCCTGAGGTGAATGTATTAGGTACAAGCACAATTTAACATAATAAAACAATAGGTACATGTAGGCTACTGTTGGGAAAAGTTCAGGAGCTAGGAAGTGGTAAAATGGAATTGTTGTTTTGCTTACCATGACTAGGTTTATTTTTAATTCAGTAAGGATTAAGACCATTAAGACTAATGAGGAATGCTACGATCAAATTAGGTCAACTAAAACAATACTTGTACGGTACGTAAGTATACCCTATTATCTATATTATTACACATTATTTACATTTTAAAAGTACTGCAAAATACAGTTCTAATATATATAGAATATTTAATGTCTACAGAAATTATTAATCCGATTAAACTCAAATTAGCTGTACTTCTAAACGTCAATATTACATGTATGGATGTCCCTCCCATAGGCCTATTACAATCTCTATATTCAATTCACTTACAAAAAAATACAACTACACATTTAAGACATACCTAAAATGAGGGTGATATAAACCTTTATTCTTTATTTTCGAAATAAGTTAATGTTAATGAATTAATTTCTTTATACATGTTAACAACAAAACCCCAAACACACCAAACTCAGCAGACCGAACGAAACAACGAAACTGCGATTTTGACAACCATTTTGACAGTTACATGTTTGCCAACAATAAAATTACCTGAACAAAATTTCCCACAAGGAGTAAGAGCTCAGAGCAATAAAACAACATGAAACACCTTGTTACATTGAGATGTATATGTAAACAAATCACACCTGCATATTATCATGGTGGAAGGAAAAAACACTTTTTTCCTTCCACCATGGCATATTATTGTATTTTGTAATATTATGATCATTGTTTTAACATATCAACAGAACACTCCTTACTAATAGTTTTGTTTTTCTCTAAAAAAGTCCCCATATTGATTTTCTACAAAACATATAATTATTTAGTTCTTGATTTATGTTTGCAATATCCGTAACCAAACATAGGTAGTAAAAATACCATGACATTTTTAAGACGGTGGTTTGCTTTTTTACACGATTAGTATCACCAAAGATTACATATGCTGGGTATCACCCACCCTTTAAATATAGGGACTCTGATTTTTGTCATGTCACCTCCAGGAAAGGCTAGTTGAGGATTTGCCACACAAAATGTTGGTCGCACAAAGCAAGCAGGCCGAAGCCCATAGAACCAATAGTCACAGGTAGATGGGAGATTGATGGCGCACTTCCACCTCTCCGAGAGCTAAACACCCCACTAACCTGGATGGAGGAATGTCACTGGAGGTCCCCCCTAAGGGGCTGGCACTTAACAGACGTCCATGACTATGGCCTACTTGAAATGCCGATTCCAAAATACCGGACAGTTACCGGTACCTCCCCTTTGGGGGCTTAGCAATTGCTATTAGCACTTGGAAGGACTGGCTAAAGTCCTTGTAACACTTTAGATATTTGTCAGCCAGTCAAAAGTACCTCAGCAGATTTTTTCTTGCTGTCTACACTGGTGCATTTTAAAATAAAAAATGTACAGGAGTGTTTAAACATTTTTAGGAAAAGCCATTCATGATTTGTGAATGTGGCAGTAATCAAACACGTCCCTCCTTTCGCAAACCTTTAAGCAATATTCTTTTTACAATGTAGTACGGTCCTTGTATTTCTTCAGTTTCTTGAGAAACATTTTTGAATTATCGACTGTTTGCGTCTGCATGCCCCCAAGTGATCACAGCCACTTATTGATGAAAACTTGTTTTCTTACCTTTGTGTACCGGTCCTGATAATATAAATGGGCCTTTAAACAGAGAGGGAATGAAGTGGATCAAAACAGAACGTTCTATATATTATTATGTTACATTTTTGAAATATAAGTTATGGACTTCACTGTGAAAAGTGAGATTTTAAAAGTAAATAAAATCAACCTTTACAAATTTAATGGAAATTTAGATGGAGATCTATTTACAAAGTTGTTAGTTGAAACTTTTAAATATTTTAAAATCTCACTAGGCGTAGAAATAAAAAAAAGTCCACAGGACTTGGGACTTTCACCCCAGTACAAAAAGCATGAACCAATTTCAACAAAATATTAGTTTGAAATGTTGACAACTTCAATCAGGAATATACTTTTAGTGACACAAAATCATACTTTGATGCTGTACTCACCTCACTAACACAAAATGTCAAACTAACCTTGTTACTTTAGGATGAATTATGAAGATGCCCATACATTATTTAAATAAGACCACTCCCATGTTTAATTGGGACAGAGCTATAAAATGTTCACCAGCAAAGATGTCGCTGTATTGATTCAATTTTTTTTAGATTTAATTATATCAATACGATGGCTGGGAAAAATTCTGAGGATACAAGTAAAAACATGTATGGCCATAAAAAGATTGGCGATGTGTGTTTAAAACAATATCGTAGTGAATGAACTGCAAGCTGAAGTGTACCTTGTGAATTAACTAATGAACAATACTGGCTATGGGTAGCTGACTAGCTGCTGTATAATGCTAGCCTAAATCTCAATATGTTGTCGGATTAACCTTGATAAAAGTCAGTGTCAGTAGCTTTTTGATGGTGGACTCGGACTGTCCCTGATCATTGGGCTCTAAAAATAAATGATCCTGGCTAATGAAACAGCTGACCCTATTCCAGTAACAAAGCTATACTAAGATATTTCACGCCCATCCTTCATATTTGTGTTAAAAAGGTCATCTAGGTGTCGATCCCCATCAAATATGATGATGATAAAGACAATGGGTTTAATAAGGTGTCCATCAAGACCAAAATATCTACAAAACAATATAGTTCCTGTTTTTGAGAACTTTCCTTATCACCTCAGGCCTCAAAACATTATATCTTTCTCCCCTCTCTGTGGTGCTGTGTGTGGAAATGTGTCGCAGCTCTGTGGTGTGTGTTAATTCATTCAAACAGCACAGCTTATAGTTTGGAGCACCCAGTCACAATCGAACGAAAATTAAGGAAATCATCGGTAATTCTACAAGAATACTCTATACACTAGGATTTGATGGTGCTTCTGTACCAGCAGGATTCAGCATGGCACAAATACATCAGGGACCAATCATAACAAGACATACGGGGGACTAATCATATTAGGAGTAGGACGGGGGCCAATCATAACAAGACATAATACGGGGACCAATCATGTTAAGACACAATACATTGACCAATAATAAGACAAATTTTTGTATAGGCCTACAAGGAAAATAAAACTAAAATCGTGTACTAAATTACATTTATTTTTCATAATAATTTATATTAAGGCATTGGAAATGACCTTTATCTATATAAATTGCCTTACATTCATAGAATGTTAATATATCTATCTATGTATATATTTATAGGCTGAAAATTCCAATGTACAACGCACAAGACCGAAATATAAACAGTCGAAAACACTGATTGCAATTGTAAATGGAACTTATAGGAGCTGTAGCTCATGAGACTTAAGATACGTAGGACTAGAGTCAAGTAGGTGTTTGCACCTAGATATTGTCAATAACAGGCGTTGGAAGAATCAGATAAAACATAGCACTTGTCCAATAGGGAGGGTCGGTGAAAGAGCACATGTTTATTGATAAATTTAAAATAAAAACTAATACAAGTTGACAACAGACCTGCAATAAAAAAGTACAGTTTTCTCAAATTAAATAGGTACACATCACAACAAAGGGAGTAAATAATTTAAATGAACACATTATTTAAAAACTTTGGTTAATTAGTTAGAACCATTAGATAGAATTACATAAGTTCGGTAGTGAAGTTAGGACGTGAGTTTTCTCTGTCGACACTTAAATAAAAGTTATTTGGCTTAAATAACAAAATACTAGAATTGTTAATCATGTTAGTTAGTACTAGGTAAAAGATACATCGTGTTTTTTTTTAGTTTGCATCATAACTTTGGTGTTGTTTTTATAGTCAATAAAAAAATGACAAACGATTACATAGTAGCCTACATAACCTGTTTTAGTCATACAATGTAAGTACTGCAACACATCATGCTTGTAAAAATACAAAAAAAGTGTACAAAAATAAATTAAGAAACAAAACGACGATTATATGTGTAAATAAAATCATGAAAATAAGCACGCACGCGTCTACCATTATTGCTAGTCCGTAAAAGGTAACTAACTAAGTTAAAATCAGATCTCAGCCTATCCTAGGCATAACCTTAACACCACTTGGGATGCCATGTGAGTATTACCAGGCAAAGAGTAACATAAGCCTAACATAGAGGAATATTTTGAAATTATAGTGTCAGTAGATTTTAATAGAATTTTCTAGTTTTGTCAACAAATGGAAGTACTGTAGTCCACTATTTCAACTTCTAACGTAAAGAGATTTCATTGTTAAATCTTGTACCATTTGAAAAAAAACTGGCTTGGTCGAGGGACTATGCAGTTGAACTACTTAATTTTTTTTACAATGCTCATATAATGTTTGTCCTGATCATTAAGAGTTTAAAAACCTTCAAAAATTATACAATTAGCATTACACAATTTTACAACAAATATTAAATTCAATTGCCTTACTAATTGAATTTCAACACAATACTTGGACATAATAATGATGCTTTACTATGTTTACGTTTAAAAAGTAAGTGGTACAATTTTCTAACCTGGGGAAGAGACGGGTCCCCCGGTCCAGGAAGACTGAAGCCTACGCTAAGGCTTCACTCACTCAGTCACTAAGCACACTAACTCAATTTGCCAGAATCAATAACGGCTTAGCCAAGGACGGCATTACAAAAGCAAGCAGGCACTTCCTTTATAGACCATTGCATTGATATGCGACAGCTGACGCGGTTATGAAACATATCAGGACACCTTTCTCTTTACAACTCTACAACTTTGTCTTATTGTTTTGAAAGTTTATAATTTAGGTAATGTATGCATTATTTCTTTTACCAAGGGAGGGTATAAGATTTTTAAGACTTGTTGGCAAAATCAAATTTTCCATTCACTTAATTAATTTTGAAAAACATTTTTACAATGTATAACTTTGAAATAGCTCAGTAAATTTAAATGTATTCTAATTATTTAGTATTTTTCATACTTGATCAACAGCTTAAGTTTGATCCGAATATCTGGGTCATGGCATTATCATAAAAGTACATTGCTACTGACGATCTGCACGATTCTAACCCACGATTTCAGGACTGAAGTCCCGCGCTTTAATCACTAGATTAGCTTAGGCTTAACACAATTATTTATCAGCTTCACTTAAAATTAAACTGAAAAAATACAATCCATTCACAAATTCTGACACTACAATTTCAAAATCTATAGACATAATCAAAACGATTAAACGTAAGAAACCATCTTTATGGTTTAAAGCTTCACAACATAACATACATTCACTTACAAAAATATCTTTCTCAAGCAGGTAATCAGTAAAGAACAGTTTTCCTCAAAGTGTATAATATCTACAAGAACTAATAATCACTTTAGCTGCAAAGTAAAATTATTTATAAAAATAGTTGCCTTCCAACACCTCTAATGGACCGACGAGGCGTAAAGTTGCTGTACATTATTTTACAATAGGCTTAACAAGAAAGTACATTCAAGTAGCAAACAAAAAAATAAAATAAAAACCTGTATTGTTAGCACGGATGATGTTCAAAGCACTTCAGCAGTAGAAAAAGTCAATTTATACAATGTTCAAAGCCCTCGGAATCACCACTTCAGACGGCCCGGAGAGTAACTCTTCCAAGGTTCAATCGATTTTATTTACCGCCTTAATATCATATAATACAGTGCTGATACTTGTGCTGGCTAAACACAGCTAAGTTTAGATTCTATCAAAATTTAGACCTAAATAAAAGTGACTTTTGAGTCTAAAACAATTGTTGAGTGCCAACTAAGGTATTTTTTTATCAAAATTTACACTTTTCTGAAGAGGATATAATCCTCGAACAGCCTCAGTCCGGTGGAGTTTCGGCTCCTTGGTATGAAACATCGTGAAACAAACGAATCCTGAAACACCTAACCACTAAAACTTCCCTTTTAAAGGCAATCGTGTTGCTAATTCCACCTTTACCATAGCTCAAACCTGATCCTAATCCCAAAACAATCTACAACTCAAAGTAATACATTTTCTTATGATTCAAAAGTACTGTAGGATTAGTTCATTTACAAATTGTTCCGAGCAGTGTGATGTGGTGAGTCGTTCATATGAGGTGTTCCGAGGGCAGGGGAGGGGGTGATGTTTATTGTCACGTGTCGAGTGTTCGCTTCTTGCTGTCGGATCGGCTCAGCTGGTGGTCCGGTGTGGCCTTGAGGATGTCCGGTTGTGCGCCACGTGACAGCGTGCCGGCCAGTGGTGTGCCACCGTGACCCAACGCGTTCATGTAGTCTGCTATCAGCACCGTCACTTCTAAAATCTGTAAAACAAAGTAAAACTCATGTAAAATTGTGATAAAAATTAACCATATTATTTTGAATTCTTCAGTTTTCTTTAAACTCTTAAATTTTCTTTTTTCCAGCAAAGCCAACTACGATTCTTAAAAAAAAACAATAACTGCCACGGTAAAAGTCCTTCAAACTTGAAGCAGTTACGTAATGTCAATTAGGATCCTCAAATAAAAAATATATTTACTATGTAGTAAATAGTTGGAAGCATCTGGTACTGGACTCAAGTGAACAACTTTATTTGAAATTTAAAAAAGCATATAGTCATAATAATTGAGAATGTGCCTAGGCAGCAAGAAAAAATAAGTATTTTTGGTGACTTTTTTTACATGGCTTGAAATTCATTTTAAGTAGAACATCACTTGTGAACCTCACAACCCCCCCCCCCCCCCCCTACACCCAACAACCACCCCTCACACTTGTTCAAACACAAGAGTCCTTGGAGGCTAGCGGCCATCTTGGATAATTTCAAACAATTGCTGAAGGGTTATTTATCGTCCAAAAATATTTTTCAACCACCAAATATACTTTGAGATTAGAAATGTTCTTTGTAAGTTTGAATTTTTCTCCAAGGGAGTCCATGGAGGCTAACGGCCATCTGGATTTGCCCGTCATAAAAGTTAATGTTAATTTCGTTAATTTCAAACAGCCGCTGAAGAGTTATTTAAAATTTACCATCTCAAAATATTTTTTCAAATACCAGAGGGATTGTAATTTAAATATCTAGTATAGTGTGGGATTAGAAATTTTCTTTGTAGTTCTTTCATTGTTTTACGAGTTAGAACGTCTTGGCTCCAAAGACTCTTAATTTGAGAGTGAAGGCAGTGGAGCAGTAATCCTCGCTCTCTCTCTCTTTCTCTATGGAAAATATTTCAAACTATTTTTTAACAGTGAATTCCCAAATACAAAGTATTGAACGTATTTACCGTTCTTTTTTGTGTGAAACACAACCTTTAGCCTACATGAGGAGGGTTGAATTGTTCATACAACTAATCAGGATTAAATATATACAATTAATTCAATTGTACCTTTGGTTTACTAAGGGCGAAGAGAAGTTTCTGAGAGCCGAGTCCCTCTTCAGCACTGACCACAAGCATAAAGTCGTCCTGGCAACCTCCGAACGTCAACACTGCCGTGTATGGATACCTATAAAAATCATAGCAATATTTTAAAATTAGTTCATAGAATTCAGAATTAAAAAGCGAAAAGATTACAAAATGTTGCCAATTTTCAAACGCAAAACTGAACATGCATGGCAGAGATATTTTATTTACGGATCTGTAGGTCATTGATGTTCTCGATTTTGTCTTGACCTCCTTAGATGTTCATAATTTCAAACTGATTTGGTTTGAGATAATGTACAATATAGCACATTGTAGTATACTGATCTGAAATTTTTTTAATAAGTACTTTTCAAAGCAACTTTATTTTGGCCTGATATCTCCATGGGTCAACCCAAACTGAAATAAAAAACTAAGCAGCAACTCTATTCGTTACTATTTAACAATTAATTAACCATGGTTTGATCTACAACATAAAAGCAAAGCAAACAAAATATTTTCACTTTTTGAGGGCTGGGAAGGGGGGTGATTTGGCATAAACAATAAACATCAATCTTGAATTTGTAAACTTGGCTTTTTTATGAAATAGAACTGTATGAAATTACGGTACAACTTTTTCAAAGAATTGCAAGTCAAGAACAAATTGGAGGGTAAAATGAAAATAGAAATGTAAGCAATAAAAATGTTGGTAAAGATTTTGGTTCTCAGCTGAAATAATCTGTGCGTCACAGCTAGTGGGAGAAAAGTTGCAAGAGATATGATATGATAAAAAAAAATGTATGTAACACTAGTTTACCTGGCGATCTGCTGCATACACGCAAGGTCCAGCAAAGTAACGGCGTCCTCTGCTATAGCCAGCCACACGACCTGCGGCTCGGGCTGCTTCCACTGTTGACATTACGATCATTTAGTGATTTTACAAGTTAAGTTTCAATAGATGGTGTCACTGCATTTGGAAAACTTAGCTTTGACATTAGGTTATTAAAAACGTTCCAATTGTTTCAGTTATGATTTTTTAGTGTGACAGGTTGTGTGAAAATAGATAGATGTATTGCTTGCTTATTTTTTTTATTGAATGCTGTGATTTATTAGGAACTAGTTTTGGTTGTTTTGGAACAGTTGCACAACATCTGTGGAATTAGATACAGCTGTTTTGAGAAATTTGTCAAATAAAGCAGACAATGATCCATCAACAAAAATGTTCACTTTAAAAAAATTGGCTGTTATAGTCATATTATGTTTAAGAACAACTAATTTCAATACTAGTACCATACTCTTTTTTGATGTCACTGATGAATTTATTAGTAGAATAATTGACAGAGTATCTCCATTGAACATTTTTGTTGTACTCTTCAAAGGAAAAAAACAATGGTAAAACGTTTCATAAATTCAAACTTTTTTGAAGCCAAAATTTAAGTGAATTTAAAAGGAACATCACAGAGTTAACAAACAGTTGATCTAAAACTAGCCAACAGACATGCAAGTTGTAATATCAGCTAATTATCTCTGACATTTCACAAATACAATATTAACCTTTGCTTGGAACAGTGAGGCACCAAAGAACGGCCACTTTCTTGTACAAGTGAGGTATATTCGGACACAGTCTAATGTACTGCGACCTTTCAAAGACATCCACTTCTCCTGTAGGCCGGACTCAAGCTCTCTGGTAAACCAAATACAAAATCAGTATGATATATAACCAATTGAACTTGTAATTTGGTTGTTTTTCAGCTTTGATTTGACTAAAATCTGTTCATATTTGTTTAGTGTGTTGTACTTAGGAACTTTTACTAGGTTTATTAAAAGAAACAATGCAAATCTTCACTAATTGTCGCATTGTTTATGTCCCAGGTACAGTTTGGCCAAAGTTTCTGTGCGGACGCCCAGATCTGGTTGAGTCTAGGCGAGACAGTTGGCGGGGTTTTTACTTTCGTAAAAACATTTGTCTTGCTACTCACTCACCCCTACCCCCCAGCACTGCTAATAACCAGTACCCAACAGTTTTAGTTTGGCTGGTAGCGACCTGTCTGCACCCACAGAAGTTTTGGCCGAACTGTACATATAGTAGGATATGACCTAGAGAAATCTCATAGATGTTTTTGGGTGAGGGAATATTTTGCCAGAGTGTTGTTACCTATCCAAACAAATCTCAAGATCTAGATCCCAAAATTAATTGATTAAATAAAACCACAATCTTGATAGTTTTTGTTCATAACAACTTTAATGGCCTCTTTATCTCAATTTCCTGCCTACATGGGCCTCAAAGGTTCAGGTGTGAGATCAAGCAAAGCAAATGATGAGCTGGTGAACTTTACTGATACATTTGAAGTGACAGCAGCAAGACACGAACCCACAACATCACAGTTGCTATGTCTCATAGTCAAGCTATTGACTGAGCCACCGATTCACCCATGGTTTACCCTAGAATTTCCATAAATATCAACACAAAGAGGTAGAAACTCACTTGAGTGCATCAGGGGTGAGGTTGTCCCTGTATCTGTAAGGGTAGAACTTGTCCAAGGCTTGTAGCACATGCAGGTCCTTCATGTTGCTGCCGCTGCCTCGACCCTTGTCCGTGTGGAACTCACCAAAGTCAATCTAGAACCGTGATAAAACACATCAGATACACGAACTTTCATACATTTTATGTTTGAAAATCAACTGCCTCTAGTCAAAACAGGCCCCAGAAATGATGCGACAATCAGAGAAGGAACTGTGGGAAAATCCAGAGTTCTTGAACAGGAGGATAGTAAAATACTAAGAAAAAAGATTATCCGTCTCTTTTTTTCAATATTTTCACATTCTTCACTGTGCCTTTTTGCAAAGTTTGAAAATCAAAAATGTCAAAACTGTACCTCCAAGTAAAATTTTCTCTTTGAATTATGCGTTTTATCGTGTTACGTAGTAAAATTAAAAATAACAGATTCACTAAATGCTTTGGAGGAGAGATAATAGTGATGCACAAATCTTATTCCAACTAGAAAACAACCTTCATCACCATGGTGGAACAAAATAAATACCAACAACATACCTGAGCCATTAGAGCAGCCAACTCTAATGCTAATTCTCTGGTGAGGGGGAAGCGACCGTGGACTACTTGTTGGTTAACCTGCAAACAAACAAGAAAATACTTAAAGAATATATTATGCTCAAATATTAACTAAAACTCGAAATTATAACAAGCACAATATATCCAATTCAAAAAAAAGAAACACCCATATCCTACTTTGTGAATAATGATGTCTATTAGTGCAATAGACAACTGTCTGACCGTGTTGTTTAAGCGTTTTTTGTCTGGCTAAGAGCCACTCTATAGATCCAGAGTCTGAGTCCTATTTTTTCTTAGGTTTGGTAGACAGCTGATTGATACACCTGTCTGTCGCAGATTTGGTCTTATCTTGCAGAGATGGGCTGAAGCCACAGAGCACTTCATCTAAATTTGTCAAATTATTCCACCCCAATAAACTGTTTCATTGAAATCCTTAAATATCTAATCACCTAATAAATGCCCGTAGTCTGCCAGTTCCACCTTGGAAAGGCGACTCCCTCTTACCAGTCTACCAAGAGTTGGCCTTCTAGCCTCAGAGAGCTCCTCGGGGTCTTCTTCTGAACTACCACATTTCCTACAAAAGTGGTGCACCATTATATGTTGCAGATGTTTTCTGAACCAACCATGTCCGGTAATCAGTTCTACTGTTTGTCTAACTTTTCACATATTCAGCCTCGGAATGTCCAAGGCAACCTGCTTTCAAGGGGTGTGGAGAGTGAGCTAGCTTTTAGAGGGGGAACTTCAGCCCATCGTCTTCGCTGAGTTTCGCTGACCCATGGCGCGATGGAAGTGCACGCAAATATAAGATGCCACAGTAAGGTTGTGGACCGAACAAAGTTGTCGCTGAAGCAAGATTCTTTGGCAGATTTTGGTTGCAGAAGATCACAAAATAAGAAATGGTGGCCAGCTTGGGAGGATGTTGATAGGATGAGTGAACTCTGTACGGAGTTACACCAGTGTTCAATTAGTGTGTTTACTAAAAAATTTTTAAGAATTTGTATTTCTGTGTTTATTAGAAAGCTAATACAAGATTGAAAAATAGCTATAGTTAAATCTAAGAATAGTCATTGAGCCTCAAATATTTGAACATTTTAAATTACAATCACACACCTGATAGCACATGAGTAGTCTCTCTCTCTCGGTCTCCATCTTGGCTGAATGTCGCCAGTACAGTCTGTTCTTGTACACCAGCTGGATTACTCTAGAGTTCTCAAACTTGCCTGATCCCTTCTCCCTCAGTGCAGTTTCCCATTTGGAGATCACGTCACACAACTGCAAATCACATTGGCATTAGTAAAGATTAGAGAACATGTATGAATGAGCAAACTTTTGGTAGCAATACTTAGGATACTAAAATTATTTGTCTAGAGTAGTTGCACCAAGAATTTTTATTGAAAGAAAACATGGTTAAATGAGTCTTCTTATGAATTATCATACTGTTTGAGTTCTATTTTATCTTTTCGCTTCTCAATAATTATTATGATAGTGAGATAAAGAGTTGTTATAGCTGTCCTTTTAAGTTGGAGCTGTGTTTAATTTTTTTTTAATATTCCACCTTTACATCGTAGAAAATGAGGCTCTAGTCTGGAGTTATTTTACACTTTACTTCATACCTAAAAGAGTTGTGACCCTATCACTTAGATACAATCACACTTGTCGATTGGTTTGGTTTGAACCCAGGACCTCTGGGACCAAAGTTTCGCATTCTACCACTAGACCAACTCTCAATTGTAATTGAACAGATTTTTTTCAACAACTATCACTCACCTTAGCAGATGGTTCAATATAATGCTCCAAATCCTTCTCTATCGGGTCGTCACTGAAGAGGGTGAACCCAGAACTTGGCGATTCTCTGCACCCGATCTCTGAGTTGAGAGTCGACAGGAACTCTTCTATTGTGGTGGACCCGTCAAACCCAACAACCTACAGACAATTGGTGGATTATTGACTAGGGTAACTGAGACTGTTAAACTACAATTTGTAATGAGCCTTTGGTTAATGCTTCTTAAAAAAGCTAGAAAATTCTTTTTTTGGACCTCAAATAACTACCTGTCCCCATAGATTTACCAATCTTTGGGGAGGTCGAAAGACAGTAACATGCAGTTGCAGTACGAGTCTCATGAACAAGACAGGGATAAGACAAAACAAGTGGCCAATCGTGTACCAGTAATGTCTCAATCACCTGCTACCGAGCTACCATGTTCAGTTTATGATTGAAAATGTTCAAAATTCGTAACAAAATCTACATGAACAACATGAAAATGTTTTAAAAATCTGTGAAAAATATTTTTTTGACATGTTCTAATATTGTGTTGCAAATTTTTGTTGTCGGTGCCCACCCCAGTGGAGTTTTAAGGGAAGGGGTTCAAATGCTTTCAGGGAAAAGCAACCGAAACCCATTAAATTATATGTGGATAAGCCGTCAATCGAATCCACCCACTTGCACCTAAGTCTTAGACGCTGGCAGATAGCCTAAAATCATAAATAGTTCAAATATTTAGGAGATTTTAACATCAAATTAACTATATACAAGAGTGTTGACCTAAAATAACCACTAGTTTGTGTAACCAACCTGGTACGTTCCGTTGAGCAAGTGAACAGGTATGGAGTGAGGTAGAGAATGATGGTACGGATTCTTGAGTAGAATGGACAACACCTCCATACGAGACGGCTTCACCTCGCGACCTCCGTTTTGTATTGTGCGCTCCAGAGCTCTCTCACAATATGCAGCGTACTTGCCGCACTCCGTTCTGCAACAGTGTGTGGAGTAGTAAAACATCTAATGCGAATAACTCTTCAATTTAGTGAGTGAAGAAATGAATTAAGTTGGTTGATTACTTATTTCGATAAACTTTTGCTTAAATCAAAGTATGAATGAAAGACAAGCAGTAAGTATGATCTGTCTATTTGTATAGTCATCTAACGAGAACCAGACTAAAACTAAACCATTGATAAATACCAATCCGTTGCAATAGGTTTTCTATGATTTCAAATAGTCTTGAAGAGTGACCAAACATTGAAAAACATTCTCAGATATTTAAAATTTAAACTAAAACTCACTTGGAGTCAGCGTTCCTCTGCAGGTGTAGCTTGAGGTACCACAGAAGCTTGTTGTTGCGGGGGACGAACAGCGAGACAGCGAGTGCCAGCAGTTGCCAGCCCTGCACGAAGGCGTACGAGGGTGGGTTGGCCTTGCAGTAGTCCAGCAGTGGGGGTGGAGGGGGGGCTCCGGCTGTAGGCGAGTTAGCAGCCGCGTCACAGGCGAACAGAGACTGCGTGGCGCACAACAGGAGTTGCTGAAATAGGAGCCCCGGTGCCTAAGCCCTAACCTTATACCTCACATGGGAATTGGGAACACTTTAACAACACCCTATGTGATTTTGAAGTTGGTTCTGACAATGCATTGTTGAATTTGTTATTTTTGACAAGGAATTGTTGAATTTGATGATTTTGACAAGGAGTCATTGAATTTGTTGATTTTGACAAGGAATTTCCAATCTTGTTTAGAATCCTTGATTTGAATCTCTTTGAAAACAGGGATATTTAAAATAGAATACAACAAGAGATATCGCAAAAACATATTTCAAGCTACTAAACCTTTTGTTACTGACATAACAAAAGTTTGAACTCAAAATTTGAATCCAATTGTTGAATAAATGAAAATGTAAACTTTGACTTTAATTCAATTGCTTAAAAAATAACTATAAAAGTTAAGATAGTTGAAGAAAAAATATGTGCTAAAGTGTTCGTTTGCTTACAACGAGGTAGCTAGAAATCTAAGATCAGGCAGAGGGACACTAAAGGGCTAGACACCGACATTCCAATCAATTGTGCTTCAGTAATTGTTTCTATGGATGGTCTCCCGTTTAATAAAATTCAGATTTTATATTGTACAAAATAAATTGAAAATTTAATTTCTGTTGTTTTTTGCCTAATGATCACAAATTTAAATTAATCTTGAGGTTAAAATACCATTATTCTGTCAGTGTGATCATACATCACCAATGAGGGAAAACTGGTTTCAGCTCAGCAGTGGGGCCATCTTCAGGCGATGAAAAAACATTAGGGTTGGTCAAGTCTCGAAATTTCGGAAAATTTTAAATCTCGTTACACGAGACGAGATTTCTTTTTGGCCAAGATTTTTATCGAGACGAGAATAAAAAAAAGAAAGTCAATGCAATACCCGCAATATAGGAGCGCGTTGTAGTTGTGTTTCCTTTGCGAAGGCGTTCTTATTTAATTAATTCTTTAAAAGTAAATTTTAGTCTAATTATTTTAATAATATTACTTTAATACCATTTCAGAAGTTTTGTTAAGTGTAAGAAGTGTGAGGAATGTTTTATTACTATAAAAAGTTAAAACAAGTAACTATTTTATAAAAATTAATATTGATTTTATTTTATGACTTATTTTATTTTAGGATAAGTTGAACTCTATCCTAACTGATATCACTATGTTTCCTAATCGTAGGCATTTTTAATAAGTTAGGCGTGATTAATAAAAAAATGTTATGCTGATGTTTTTTAATAAAAGATTGTAAATATTCTTGCCTATTATCATTATTTTTGTATTTAAACAGTCATCTAACAATTACAAAATCAGGTAAAAATTTTGAACGTGCATTTCCCGTTGTGTATGAGAAGGGAAATCCCGTCTCGATCTCGTCTCAAAATTTTATGAGAAATAAAAAATCTCGTCTCGTCTCGTCTCGAACTAAAAATCCAAACACGTGTTCATTACTAAGCAAACGGTACGTGTACATTAAGTTGCTAGTCCAGACTATCGTCAAACGAAAAAGCCTCTTTGAATGTAATTTATTGTATGAAACAGCAGTCGACATTGAAAGAATAATAACAACATGGAAAGGACCTAATAAGAACTGGAGGAAGGGGAGGGGGATAGTCAGGACTAGCAACTAAATGTACGCGCACCGTCCGCCACACAGTCAATTTGTGGCCACAAGTTTTTTTGTAAAAAATGTATTTAAGTGTTGTTTCTCGTGACGTATTTATAGACTTTCTGACGACCTCTTTGGAGTGATATTTGTGTTTTTTCATCGCCTGAAGATGGCCCCACTGTTGGGCTGAAACCGGTCGCCGCTCATCGGTGACATATGATCACACTGACGGATTAAAGGTATTTTAACCTCTTAGATTAATTTAAATTGATAATATAAATTCTCTGTACCATACTCAATGATATTATAGCTTACTGGTATTTGAGCTAGGTCACTGCATTTTATCTTATTTCTCTTTGCACCAACTAGATCAGCTGTGTGCCTTTATTTATATTTACAAAATAGATTGAATCTTCTCAACAATGTCAGCTGGTTGGAAACTACCAAATTTTTTGTCAAGGGTATTTAAAAAATTTTGTAACGTCTGTCAAAGAAGAAACTTTATTTCAACAGTTTTAAATATAATTTTAAGTTAATTTTACAAGTAAGCTAAACAAAATTTAAGAAAGTTGACATAGTCTCATCATGAAAACAAAAAAATTGTAAAATCGGTATAAACTGGAGTTTTGATAATTTTATACCTTATGGATTTTAGAGCCAATAAATTGTATTATCATACAAATTTGATTAAAAGAGTCCATAGAAATGTTTCATTTTCAAACCCGTTTTAAGAATATAGCTTGGAAGGCTAAAGAATTTGTCACCATTATTTTTAGTGTAGTATATTAACTGAAAACTGCAACAAGATGAAAAGCAATAAAACTTACTTAATTTATGAAGTTTATATAAAGCCTTATATTGTAAAAGCTGGCGTTTCAAGCAGTAATACAAAGACAATTATAGCTTTAAGCTCAAAATACCAATCATAGTGTACTTGACCACAATTACTGAAGCATTCAAATAATAAAACAAATTGAAAATAAACTCTGGCAAAATAAATAAACAGGGTTGCTAACTTATAACAACATGGGTAGCAATACAATCAACCATAATAAATAAATAGAAATTATAAAAATATAAATTTTTGACTGCTTAAAATTGTTTAGACACTTTAATATTGCTCATAAAAGAAAATCTTAAGATTTCAGAAGCCTTTTTAGATAAATTTAGAAAACTCATTGACAGGCTTTTCATAGCTCCACAGAATAAAATTAAATAATTATATTCTCACATTTAAAATACCTAAGAAAGTGAGCTAGTATTTTAAATAAGCCATCAGGGAGTAATCCAGTGATTGAAAAGTCCCGTAACAGTGTGACATATTTTTTACCATTATAGATAAAGAAATGAGACTTGGTAGTCCAACAATAACCATAAATGTCTACTCTTTTAAGCTATTATCACTTTTTGATCCCTTAAGGGGAGTCAGACAAAATTCTTAAATGGCGGTATAGGTCGAGTTTGATATCAACTTAAACAGCTTGAGCTTAGTTAGTAGAACACATTGCCGCAAACCCGAATTCAAATGGACAACTGGAGGGATAAATAGTAAGAATATAAGTTTATGGGTTTTATGGATATAATAAGTCTCATTACTTATCTATAATGGTAAAAAATATATTACACCGTTCCGGGACTTTTCAATCACACTGTATTTAATTTAATTATTACACTATAATAACTTATGGGGCTCAAAACTGCTAGAGATAAGGTAAAAAAAAAATTAAATAAAAAATGTATTTGTTTAGAATGAAAATATAAATAAACTAAAACTTATAAATAAAAATAATTTATGACCATAAATAAACCATTATTCACTAGAGATGCCAAATTTCAAAGTTGATAAACTGTGAAAGCTAGATATTATTTTCCTCAAATTATAATTCAAGAGAGTTGTTTTTTGAGAGCAGTGATAAAGGTAGTAGTTTTTTCAGCAAAGTTTTTGGGAATATATGTTGATAGCCAGCTAACACGGGATTCACATATAGACTATAAGTACCAGACTTTCTCGTGTAGTATGTTCACAATTATTAATATTATTTCAAACATCTCTAGTAAATAACAATTGAGGTCGGTAAAAGAAGCCATGCGGGTTACACTTACACGGTGTCTCAACTTGGAGAATACCTGCACGCCGACTTTGTGGTGTATGTGGCGAGAGGTCTGTTTGACCAAGGCACACAACAGCTCGGCCTGGAGCTCCCATTGGTCTAGACACTGCTGCAGTGCATTCTGGGCCAGCACCACATGGTAGTCGATACCAGCTGACTCCACCGCCACTGAGATGAACAGCTGACAGCACTGTGGGCAGACGCTTAAGATTAGGCTCAAAAGGTTCAAACAGGAATTTCCTCATGGGACATCAGTTTTAATAACATGAATTTGTGCAATAAAAATCAAACAGAATTAAAAATAATTTACAGATCCTGCACAAAATTAGTGAAGGCCTCCTCGAGAACGTTTTAGAGAGCTTTAAAATTTGCAAAGCCACCAAAAAATACCCTCACAATGAACTGAATGAAAACATACCCCCGCCGCAGCAAACCTGCAGACTAAGCGAATTTCCATTTGCCTGATTGGATTTACACTATAATGTCTCCTTAAAAATATCACATTTATTCCCTATTTAAATCAAATCAGTTTAACACATACTTAGGTTTGCTGCAACAGGGAGGGTTAAAGTGTTTTTTTTATGTAAAATGTTAATAGTTAGTAAGAAATAAAAACATTTTCCAAATTTGGGCAAAATATATTAATAAATAAGTAAACTACAACAGTTTACTTATCCTCCAAAAGAATAACATGGGAATTTTAAATTAAATTTTTTTTTGAATTTTCTCCGTAACCATTAGGCGCATTATAACGCTTCAATATACTAAATTATTTGTTTTTTTTTAAGCTCTACAAAATAGTTTGGAAAGAAATTGCAAAAATTTAAGTTTTTTTGGGTCAAAAATGGGAAAAACCCATTTTTACCCCTTAAAAGCCCCCATAAACCCCCGTTCCCATGGTCGGATCATGCTAGTTCGCCAACTCGTTCGAATAAACGTAGGTTTACACGTTTGTACCAAATTTCATCAAAATGGGATCATTTTTGCTCGAGTTATCGCGCTAACGGACACATATATATATATATGAATTTGAACGGATGCTATTTTTGGCCTCTAGGGACCTCAAAAAAAAAAAAAAATTGGTCCCGGGTCCAGGTCTTACCATGAGTACTACGGTAATAGCTTATACTACTATATGGGAAATTCGCTAAAATAAACTTTGCATGAAAATATTTTATCTGATAGAATAGTATAAAAACCATAAACAACAAAGTAACTGCAAGCTATTGTCAGCTGATGTGTCCCCGACCCCAAGGTCAATGATCCAATCTCAGCTAGTTTTGTCATGTCCGACGTGCAGCCTGCGTCGGTTTATTAAATTCTTTTGTAAACTTATGTGTCAACATGTCTTTGATATGATAAAGACTTATGTCGGATTTCATGGACATTTGATGTTAGAGTTGAGAATGGGTCTTATCCGAAACTATTAATCCTCAGACTACTGATTGTAAGACTATGAAGACAGACAAAGGTACGTAACCTTTAAATAACCACTCTTGTCTTCATGTTTCTATGAGACCCAGAATGTAGGAGAAACATTAGGTTTTTCAAGTCATATATTCAAGAACACAGCTGAAGAAGTGAGAGTTCTTCCATGAAAAACTAAATATGCTACAAAACATACTTTACATTTAGCGTTTTGTTTTAAACATAGGAGACAAATGACATGCTCAACCATAGTATTTATTTTTTACCTTGAACAGTTTGATAGCTTCGGCCTGAAGAGTTTCTGAAGACAGGGTAGTGAGGGGGGAAGTGATAGCATCTTTACTGTGCAGTAGAATGGGGTGCCTCCACAACACACAATCTGAAACATGAAAACAATATTAGTTACTTGCAAAAATATTTATGAAATACTAACAAATTTGGGGAAATCTATTAATGAATAAACTTGAGCAACTTGAGGGAACACCCAAGTGGGAAATTATGAAAAAGGTTAACTTCCTGGCTGCCTGGTTAGGCAAAAAAGCTGGCCTCTCTGAAAATTTTAAAAACATAATTGTTTGAGTGCTTAGCATCCTTGATTTCCTGGAAGTTGGAAGTCATCTAAAAATATCACCAATCGCGTATTAGCTACATAAACATACTCAAATCAAATGGGTAAAAACTAACTGAACACTTCTCAAATGGGACTGTTCATGACCAAACAATTTATAGAGAGCAAAGTTAGTGAATCATATGGACTTAGTCAGTGTGTGATTGTTTTAGTTGGTAACTGTTGAGTTTAGAGATGTTTAAGTTTACACAACTTACTTGGATCGCCATCACTCTCCATCAATTTCTGTACAAGTTGCTCATACTGAGTGCCAGCATTTGGCCCGGCACCCGACACCACCGTCAAATGGTACAGCCAGGAATCCTGCAAAACAGTTCACAATTGCTGTCACATTGTAGGAAATAAAGGCCGTCCTCCAGAAAAAAGTTAATGCAAAAGCAAACCTCTTTAAAACATGATTTTTGGCTGTTTCAAAGGTGGAACTATCTTTAAAACATTTCTAACATATTTATTTGCAGCAAAAAACTGTTTTTTACAGAGCATAGTGAATTTTAAATTTACTTTTTTAAGGTGGTCATGACCTCTACTGGCTACACCCGGAAGCACCACTGCACAACTTCAAATCAAATGTAACATTTAGTTTAGTACAGCTGGACATTTATTTCACTCTGTTAATGAGGCTTAATTATAAAGGCACAAGGCATTTTGCAATTAGTAGGCCTAACATACAGGAGGGGGAAGAAAAGTATATAATTACAATGTTATCACTGATCTAATGGTAAAGTGAGGGATTTTGATACCCGAGGTCCTAGGTTCAAATCCTGCCAGTCAATATGGCTTTAGCTATGTGGTAATGCTGCAGCCTTCTAGGCCTAGCCAAATGTATTGTGTACAATGTGAAGCTAAGACACAAAGAACTGCTTGACAGGGAGGACGGAGACATACTTTATCCTGCTTGGAGGGGAAGAGCAGATACGTAGGGCCCTGGTGGGTAGGGAATATCCCGATGGTAAGTTGAGCATTCTCCGCATCACGATCTTCACTGTCAGAATCCGACACATGGTCCACCTCCTCCACTCTGGCGTCCCTCATATTGATCTGGCCAATGGGGTTCTGTGAGCAAAAAATATAGTTAATACCTACAGAAGAAAACTTATAATTGGAAAAATAGGAGTTAGAGAGTGGTATCAAAAGCATGTTGAATTGAATTGAGTGGTTAATAGTTAAATTGAGTAGTACAGTTTATTGATATATATTATGAATAGAATAAAATCCAACCCAAGGGTTCAATCCGTGAGCTACAATTGTGACAACTATAGGTGAGCCGTAGTCAGTTATAGCTATGAAATCTGCTGGTATTTATCATTAACGAATCATAAAACTAACACAAATTTCACTAAGGGAATGTTAAACTCGAGTTAGCTCCATGACACAAACCACAAGCTGATACTTGGCCAAAAAATAGCTTATGATGTTTTTTTATCCAAAATGGTAATTTTCGGGTAGGTGGTCATTCACTGGTGCACTCACCCTACTACATCTATATTTTAATCAATCTTACGTTGTCAGAAGGAGACTTGAAGTAGAGGAACATTTTCCCAATGAGAACACACCAGCACTTCTTCGCATGTCCGTTGCGCACCTTTGTCAGCCAGCCTTGCAGTGTAGGCTTGTTCTGTTCCCTGCTGAGCAGCAGCTTTGTGGCGTTCCGCCTCTGAACATTCTGAGCAACAAATATATTTTTCATCACTTTGTACAGAAAGTATCTATTTACGATGACAGCTGATGTGAAGGAAAATAATTGTTTTCCATGTTATTTTTTATCTTTTCAAACAGTTAATATACAATTCTTTTTAGCATAAAACACAATTCAATGAAGGTTTGTCTATGCATAGGGGTAGGTAGTTAAAGTCTAGTTAATTTACAATACCGAGTGATATTTCTCTTATTTTTTTTAACTAACGTAACAACGGTATTATTGTGTTTTGACATGTTTGAACTTGCACTGACCTGTAGCACCTTGACCCAGTCCTCAGTAGCAGCTATAGAGTCAGCTGTGAGGTAGTAGGTCTTCTTGCCCGTGGTTATCTCGAAGGTAGCGGCTCCGTCGGCCCGAGTGATGCGACACTGGTCGTCTATAGAGATCTCGCCTTGGGGTTTCCTCGCCATGTCGTTCTGTAAAGATAAAAACATTGAACACATGCTTAGAGCCTCAAACAAAATTAGGGCTAAAATTTAAAACATTGAAAAATTAATTTAGAACAGAACCCCCAGGCTAAAGTGTAGAACTCAAAGTCAATGAATACTTAAAGATCACTACAGGATGAGTTAAGAGAAGTTATTGGAGGAAGTATAAAAGAAAGTGGCTAACAGATGGTCAGCTATTTTCTTTTTGAATAAAAAATTTGCAAAAGCTGGTCCAAATAGATGGGATGTCCACTTCAGTATGTATTCAAAGTCAATGATGCCATTGACTAACTATCAATTTTTTTAACATGCTAGATTTTCCTGCACTCTGCATTGAAACGTTTTGTTGAGAAAAAAATTAGGAAAGTGTCTTGCAAAGTCATAAAGTAGTTATTCAACTCTTTCTTTCCTTTTTCATTCTACAGACCTGAGACTTCCAGTAGCGCAGTTTGCCGTTGTTGAGTTGGAACCAGCGTCTCCTCCAAGTCTTGAGTTTGCCGCCCAGTTTGGCAAGATGGCCGCTCTTCTCTAGACTCTCGCAGGTCCGCTGATGTCTCGGGCTGTCTGTCGCTCGCAACACTAACGACCATTCTAACGACTCACAACTCAGGGCGTCTGGTGGAATTGCGTAGTCGTCTGACATCCCCGACTCAAAAGAGGTATCTGAACATCACATAATACTCAAGTTTCAAATCGTACTAAATAACTAAATTAAAATGTGAATAAATGGTATACTCTGTTCCACGGTCACTGAGAAGTACAAGTAGTATTTGTGAATCAAATGGGTGTTGTTGTTGTTTAACATGCAAATACAATCACACAAAAAAGATAACATTTCATTCTGTAAGTACTAAAATTTCTTAAAATCTGAAATATATTTTTGGCATACTTGGATTCAGATTTCCTTTACTTTAAATATACCTAAAATGACCATGAGTGCAGAGGTAGGACCATGCGAGAGGGATACAATTTTCAAAACCTCTTAGGCCAGGGACACACTTGCCGGCGAAACCGCCGAGCGCCGGATTCGGCGGATCCGCCGGAGGTTGAGGGTCAGAACACACTTGTTCTTGCGAAAACTATTTTGCCGGAGCCGGCGACAATAAATAGAGTGCAATGAACTCTGAATGAGTTTTGTCTTACACTAGTACAGTTTTAGTACAGTTTAGTCTTAGAAATGGTGCTGTCAAGACCTCAAAAGTTGGCCTTGCTGTGTTTGATCCACCACAGAAGGATGAGAAAACACCACCGAACTGTTTGGGTACATCCTATTCTGGAGAACAGACAGCTACATGGAGCTTTTTACACTCTATTTTTACAGTTGAGAAATGAGAAAATACGTTTTTTTAATTATTTTTGAATATCTGTCCCCTCATTCGACGAGCTACTATCGAAGATTACAGTGCAAATACAAGGACAAAACACATACATGAGACGCTGGAAAGGCTGGATTCAGTGCGGCACAAATTTGTCGCCAGCTGCTGCTGTCCCTCGTTTTGTTATTGTCTTTGTAAATTTCCAAAAAACTATCCCAAAGTTCTGGTTTCTCATGAACCAAACTAATAAGTAAATCCATATCAACATCTACCATGATGATAAAGAAAACTAAACAGACTAAAAATAAAAACTAAATTAACTAAATAGCAAAAACAAAACTAAATACACCACGGACACTGTGCTAAAATAAAAAAAACAACCACTACCCTTGAGGGTTGAACCACGACTGAGGAGTGGGGGCAGTCGCAGTTCCGGCTGTTTCGCCGGTAAGTGTGTTCATCTCCATAAGGCACAATGCCCCGCTACCCACTGCTCTGGCGAAACCGCCGATCCGGCGAGGTAGAGAATATCCGGCGGTTTCGCCGGAGCATTTTCCCGCCGGATCGGCAGATTCGCCGAACCAGAGAAGTGTGGCCTGCCCCATGCCTTCCTGTGTATCTCAACTTGCTCCGGCGCCGCCGGATCCGGCGTCCGGCGGTTTCGCCGGTAAGTGTGTCCCTGGCCTTATTCGCCAATTATGTTTGTCTATAACTGCACCCTCAAAAATAAAATAAGGAAACTATTTCTGAGAGAAGGGGGGAAAAATTGATCAAATATAATTTTATTTGAAACCCTCTATTCATAAACTGAGGATTAAAAAAACTAGATGTAACAAAACAACTAATAAATTCAAAATGGTAAGTCATGGATCACAATTTTACGCCATAGAATAAAAAAGCCAAAACTTACTTTTGGAAGGTGAATCAGAAGAACTTCTTTTGGCAGGAGAAAGACTAGAAGTGGTTTTGTGGCTTTTGCTTGGACTCGACAAAGATGTATCTGTGAAATTAAAGACTTAATTGAAGACAATTGAATATTTTGTTTTGATTTGAAGGAAAGTAAAGTAAATATTTTTAGGGTTGATGATTTAAACTTGATTTTAATATCGGTCAAGAGCATACTTGTCATCTCATAAGTTATCGTAAACGTTTCTTATGTTGAGTGTTTTGCTCCCTCTCAAAATGTTGAACTCTTTTCTCTGATTTTCAACACACTCTCTCCGACCGATTATTATAAAAGACAAATTATAAAAACAAATGAGCTTCAGCAATGAGCTTTCTTATTAATAAAGTTTGAAATTAAAGACAACAACATTAAACGTGTTACCTTTTGTATGAAAAGGATAAAATGTTTCTCAGATGTACAATACTGCCATTTATAATCTCTTTTTCTTTTAAATGGCAATCTCTGTTATCCTTCACCTTAAGGTCTTCTTTTCACTTAAGGTTGAGCTAATAAAATGATAACATGTATAAATTGTATGGTGAATGAATGGTTTTCCAAAACCATTGTAATGTTCCAAACTGTAGCCAATTAATCCGAAATTTCTGCTCTGCATCTATTCAGTTGATTTTTATAGTCCTTGACCTTTAAATGACAGTAGAAGTTTTACTGTAGATCATTAATGATGTAGTTTTACTGACCAGTATTATCACTGCTACTGTTGGTAGCCCTGGTGTGAGTGCCGCTGTGGTTCATGTTGTTGGTGTGTTCTCCCTCCCCGTCGGACGAGTCATCGGAGGAATCACCAGTGAACGGCATCGACCTGATCTGACTCGCTCTCTGAATCATATAAAAGAACTATTAGTTCTTTACCAAGGATTAAAAACTTTAGTGGTTCAAGTTGATAGAAATTGATACAACACATTATAAAAGTATACAAATTTACTATTTAATTTCTGATAACCTAAAATGTTAACCTTAGCTTTTTTGTTGTAATAAACCACTGATCTGTCCATTGATGTAGTGTTATGGTACAAGTCACATATGCTGTGATAAGAAATTGCATCTGACTAGTCTCAAACCAGCAATGTTTGGCTTTAAGGCCAAGACAAAACTTAGCTACCATTTTTTGTTATAAAAAGTGTTAAAAACGTTGGGAGAATTACTTAAGTTTGTCAAACAACAAAATTACTTCTAGAGTCCTCATCAAGAAAATCGTCCAAAGAGAAATTATACAACGTTGCCGAACGGTGATTTCTCTCAGACGGTCACTGTGGCTTTTAAAAGAAGCTCCTTTCTGTGTTAAACTTCAATAGTGACTTGGACTCGTTCTACCACCTAAGAAAATCCTTAGATCACATAAAATTAAAAAAATTCTACATTGTTGAGTAAGCTTCCTTCTTACGTAATATAAGTCAGTAATTACCCCTTTGACAGTGGCGAAAACCGGTACGCTGATCTCCTTGTACCCCTGGGCAGCCGAGTGGTGTCCGCTTGTCTCCATGGCCGACTGACTCGTGGCCGCGGCCAGTCCCTCATTGGCCACCTGGTAGATCCGAGATTCCCAAGAGGGGAAGCGGTGCAGAGGGGGTGTGGGGGGCTTCGGACATTCCCAGGGAGGCTTCTCTCTCGACGGAGTGTAGATCTCCGCGTAGTCATGGCTCTGTTCAGAGTCCACACACTCACTGCGAGCTACAGGGATAAATAGTGAGATAGAGGTTATCATAGACAAAGTGTTATTTAACTAGTGTTTTTAATGATACACACTGTGATATGAATTGAACAAAAAGTCAATATTATCCATGCAGGTCAAACAAACTATAGCTTTCCTTTTTATTCTTCCAACTAGGATAATTTACACCCTCATATTATCTAGTTATCCACCATTACAACAATTAGTTTTATTTTGACATGTTTCCTGTCTGACAACAAGGTACAGTATTAAAACCATACAATAAGACTGAAAATTTATCAAAATCTAACCAAAGATTTTGTGTTTTTATGAATAAATGTCTATGAAGAATATCCCACAAACACTGACAGAAACTAAGCTAACAAAGGAAAGAAACCATGGTTAAAATAAAAAGTAACGATTGATGGGCAACAATATTAGCCAACATTTTAAGACTTAAATTTACAAAGAAGCAGGGAAAGAGGAAGGCCAAAAACATTATTGTAAAGATGATTCGGCAAAACATTTACGTACAGAAGGCAAGGGCTTGAGAAAAATAAAGCAGATGACTCAAAATCAAGCGGTGGAGAGCATTGGTTGCAGCCCTATGTTCCCCTGGCGATTAAATGAAATATTAAAGTAAGTAAAATACATTATAAATAAATAAATCCACTCACGCCTGATGTGGACGGGAAGCAAGGCGAGACTGTCCACTGCAGCTTGCAGATCTACGCTGAGTTGTTGTGAAGGTGATGTCATGGTTCCTGCGCACGCAGACAGGTGGCGTCTGTGTCCTAGAACAGCTGTGGTCGGCTCACTCTGCGGTGCCTTGCGCCTCTCCACCTCTGCGTAAACAGGCTCTGCGTCCAACAGCCCTCTGGAACATTGTGCAGACCCAAGTGAGCAAACATTACGCTGGTTCTAAAATTTAGGAACCAGATATTACTGTAAGCCTAGTTAAAACTTAAACTAAAAAAGGTTGAAATTAACGGCATTAACTCAAACTTATAATGTTTTCAACCCTAACATCTTTCAAAGTCACTTTGACTGTATTATTTGTATCTGTTTGTGTAAACCTGTTTCCGATCTATTAATTGACCCTTAAAGAAGTTTCCAATATCATAATGGAAGGCCTCTGGATCGTATGTGTTAACTAAGGCTTAAGTTACTTGTTAGTTGTCTGTCAAAACAATCTGTTGTAGTAGAATTAATTACAGCTATTTTGTGCTGTCAAAAATTGTGGACATCTTCAGGTTCCAATGCCTTTACTGATAGTATATCAATATCCCTATGATGAATATCTCACCGGAAGTTCATCAAAACATTTAAATAAATAAAAATACACAATCCAATTAACACACACAAGACTAGACATTTTAAAAATATCTACAAAAAAATGTGTAACAACCATACTTGTCCGGTAAACACCTCTATTTTCAGGATTAGTAAAAGTAACTTAATATACTATTTTATTTCACACCAAGAAATAATTGAGTTTTTGACAGCTTGAGGTTCCAAAATCATTAACCTCAACTTGATGATGCAAACAAAACAAAATTACCATTCACATTTCTCCATGTCAAACTCGGCGAGTAGAGCAGTTTAGCTGAAAAGTTTTCATCGTGGAGAATGTACAAACCTGAGGGCAATGCATAAGTTGGTGCTGGCTACGATATAGTGGTGCACTTATTTTTGTTCACTTGGAAAAAGGGGTTGAGAAATGCTTTTACTGCACAGTGGGAAGTCTCGGAGGGTGGTGAGGGGGGGAGGCAAACAAGGGTAGAGCACAACATGCATCCACATTACATTCCAAGACTCAACAAAATAAAAATGTATTATTACAGTTATGGATACAAAATTACAATACTTTAACCTAACATGTAATTCTTTTAATGAATGTATTAGGATTGTTTATTCTATCATTTTACTTAGATGTGTAAGGAATCAATAAAATGTAAATCAGCTTAAATAGGTAGCCTAATGATTTATTTAAATTGTGTGGAATTGAATTTTAACACCGAAAATTAATGTAATGATTGTAGAGGCTGAAGATTGTTAGCATGGTAAATTAAGCGACAAAAGTTGTTGGAGTTTTGTAACAATTTTTAGTGAATGATTTACTTTTAAGAATACAGTAGTTGTAAGTATTTTACAGCATTATGAGTGATATGATTATTGTAGCAGTGTAGTAAACATAATACAGGGTGTTCTGTAAGAAAGTACAAACAATTTAGGAATAGGTTTGATGGATCAAAATAAAATGTAATTCAAAATTAGCTTTGATCAATAAACACCTTGTTAGCGAGATTTCAACCATTTAGTTTTTTGTGTTTAAAATTTAGACCTTAAAAGCTACTAAAGATATCTTTAGAAAGTTTAGTATACAATTTCAAAGAATCACTATTTGAGAAAAAATAAATAAAGAAATCAAAATTTTTAGGTACAAATAGGACAATTAAAAATCATAATTTTCAGCTATTTATGGTTTGATCTTTTCGAACTTAGTGTAGTTAATTCATTGGTGCAGTTTAATAGGAATTTAAATGCTAAATAAAATTGTACTTGAAATTTGTCTTATAAAATCAGCCTTTTTGTAATAATTTAAGTTATAAAAATTAAAATGACAAGCATTTCTAAACAAAACATATTTATTGTTTTTTTTTCTCCAATAGCTTTTGACTCTTTGAAATATTGCACACTAAATTTCATAAAGATGTCTTAAGAATTTTTTAAAAGTATGACTTCAAAACAGAAAATTTATATTTAAAAAATAAATTTATTAACAAAAAAACCAAACTAAAAACTGATACTCAAAATTCCAAACCAGAAAATATTTACACACACAGTGGGTCGTATCAATTGAACAATCAGGAATATATATTCACACACACACACACACAGTGGTAAAATCATTTGAACAATCAGGAAAATATATTCACACGCACACACATTGGTAATATCAGTTGAACAATCAGGAAATCTAAGTTTCACTTTAGTATAAGTCATCACATCCACTCTCTAATGGTTCTACAGAGGAAAACTAAGGAAGGAGAGGATTTCTGATTGACTCACTTGTCCTGTTGTAAAGTCTCGGGACAGATATTGGGGATGGTTAAATTTTTTGATCCAGGCCCTGGAAATCTGGAATAAAATATAGATTTTGAACTTCTCTACTACATTTCTTCAACACAAAAGCCTCGGTGTAAGTCTATTTTGATTCTTCAAGTTTTTGCGTGATCCTTAAAGCATGTGTTTCATAGATAACAATTGTAAAAAACAATATTTTAAAATATTTATTTCATTTGTTAACCATAAATTCATTGATTGTCCTGTCTTTAGTGAAAACTACACAATAGAAACCTTTAGAAAAACAAAAATTATAGTGGAAACTGTAAAAATTCTTATTATCTCTTACCACAATTTAATCACACCAACCAAATAAATAATATTTTTGCAAAAGCAATTGCAAATAAAGCCTAAAGCAAAAATAAGATAAACAAATTCAATACATCCACACATAAAGCGTAAATCACAAAAACAATACTGAGCATATAAAGACAAATCGAAAGCAGAGGAGGTTTTTACCAGTATTGAGCAGACGATTTGCCAGACAGTCAAACAATGAATAGGGTGTACACTGGGGTATGACTCAGGGTGGGTGGTGGGTGGTGGAAGGTTGGGGAGGGGAAACAGGAGAGGGGGGAGAGAAGAATGACAGCTGGAAGGACAGTGATTGGAACTGTGTGAATATAAAAGTGGCACAGAAAAATGTGACAGTAAAACATTCAGCAGGTTTTATAGGTCGTTGGCCTACTTTTTCCACACCTCTGTCCTTTACACACATGTGAATAAAATTCAACAAAGAAAGAGTACTGCCAAGTCCCTATTTGAAATATTTAAAACTGAAGGGTAACTTTTTCATTTTAATTCTGGTTTAGAGACTTTGCCTGTTTCGGGAGGTAGGAGACTCCCGTTTTATCTAACTATTAATCTACATTTAGCTAACTAACTACTTAACCTACCTAATGTTTTTTTCTCATTGATTACAGCATAAGGTAGTAGTAATAGCTTAGTCAATTAACTAAAATTGAAATAGTTATCCTTTGCAATTATGAACTTAAAATTTCATTTGATTTGACTTTATTGGTTTAGAGATTGTTGGAAATATAATCCTACCTAAATTTTATTTACATATTTTTTTAGTTTACTTTGAGTATGGGGGTCATAATCAAAAGGGCAAGAATGCACCATGAATCTCCAAAAACTTTGTTCTTCGTATTTGGCTGTAGGAGGATTTTTAATTAATTGTAAAGTGATTTGATTAATTAATTATTAGTGTAGTGATAGACACAATCTGTCCAACCGGAAAGGTAAAAGATTAAGACACCAAGTTTTTCAATTAACTATTAAGTTAGTGTATTTCAAGTTTAATTTGTTTGAAAACTGGTAACTGTTGCTAAAACTTGTCCTCCCCAAATAAATTTTACCAGAAAAATGTAGTCAGGAGAAAACTGGGTATAAAATATTGAAAAATGTTTAACAGTAAATATTGTGTGCTACTATAACATTCAACAATTATACTTCTGATTGTCATCCAAATACTTAGAAAGCCATTGTTGATTTTAAACTTTTACAGTTGAGACAAGAATTTGAGAAAACAAAATTAAATCAACAGTCTATGAATATTACTGTAGGATCTTCATCGACAAGGTTTTTATACATCTATAATCAGACCCCACTCGCCTCCAATTCAAAAGAAAACCAAACTGAAAACACACAAGCTACAAAATTAGCCGAGGGGAAAAGATGAATAAAACCTAACAACCCTGGTTTCCATGTGAACCTCCCTGGGGAAAGAAGCTTTCACCCTACTTTAATTAAATACTCCTTTTAGAGGATTTTATGGTGTGAGATTCTATTACACGTATCACCTCATATTTAAACTCTTATAAAACAGTGAAAACATTCCTGATCCTACAATCAGTGGTCAAAATGTTCACAACAGTTTTTTAAACAACATAAAATTGTCACCAGCAATAAACTTTAACAAAAAAATATCAGATTATATTACAAGTAACAGGACTCTAAACTAAAGATTTATCAATAGGAATAAGAAATATACCTACCGGTACTGAATTACTTAAAAAAGATAAACTTACGCCTTTGAATCCATTAAAAAGAGAACACAAACACATCCTTCATATTCTATCCAGGAGGGAAGAATGACACAAAACTGTTGGAGAACTCAGACGAGAATAGAAAGAGGGGAAGAAAGCAGATATTTTCAACTATCTGATTTAGAAGTCGTAATGAATCACTTAAAATAGTTTAAGGATGAGATAATGTGCCTTAACTTCTGTATACAGTTGAAATAGCTAGAGGTAATTAATTGTGATGTACCGCAACACTTTCTTTAGATACATTTTAAGAATAAAAGTTTATGTTATAGGTTACAAACAAAACTAATCTATTAAACTACAATACCATAGGCATAGCCTATAGTAGTATGCCTATATAGTATGATTGTTGCTATTTATTGTTATTTGTTATATTGTTCAACTATTGTTGTCAAATGTTATTGCTTGTTATACTGTTCTGAATTGTTTCTCATTTTGCATCTATTATTTTTCTTAAAATTGTATCTAATCTAAATCTTCTAATCTAAATAAATAAATAAATACAGTAAATTTTGACAGTTGGATACCAATATTTATTTTTGTTGTATTCAGTTGATGATATTTGGTTTAATGCAGCTAAAATTTCAAAAACCTAAACTGTAACTTTTATGAAAATAAACCCAAAGTACTGTAGTTGGGTTAACGAGTCTTATGTTGGAAATTACAACTAATAATGCTGGGAAAAAGAGATGGTAGCATCACTAATCCCTGTGGGACAGCTTTTCACAAATGAATGAATGAATGAATAAATGAATGAATGAAGGAATGAATGAATGAATGAATGAAAGAATGAATGAATGAATGAATGAATGAATGAAATGCTTTATTCCGTGGACACTAATAGCATGATGAAATCATGCATGCCACAAGAAAGTGATTTTAAGGTGGAAAAGTAGGAATGCACTCAAACCATATGCTCAATAACAGGTTTCCAGCTTCCAGCTTCAAATCCATGTTATTCACGATAGGAAAAGTCTGAAGGATTCAAAGCCTTCCTAAAGTATCCAAGTTCAAAGAATGTGATTCTGCAAAGAGACTGAAGAATTAAAGTGTGAGTAAAGACGATCAACAAAACAGCTTCCAATCATGTACTCAATGATAAGAACTAGGAGATGGTCTGGTAGGAGATGGTAATGAGAAGAGAAGAAGAATCAAACCTGAAAAACATTCTGAAGGGAACGGTGGAAGGAAGAAGACCCGGGGTAGACCAAGAACTAGATGGTGGGATTAGGTTCAGCAAGACATGAGACTTTTGGGAATTGAAGAAGAAGATGCTGAGGACAGTGACAGATGGAGGTGCTGTGTTGCTGAGGCCAAGAACGGCTTGTGTAAAAATTGCCATGGCAGTAAGTAAGTATGTAAGTATGAACTTAATGATGACCTGAGTGAAATAACAAGAGAACATTTAGATTAAATTTTACTGCTCACCTCGTAGAGCCGGTGCTGTTGGCCCTGAGTAGTGAGCTTGGCCGAGTATCCACAGGCGTGTTCCGGCCTGCGCTCAGCTGTGCCATGTGTCTTCGCAGCAACTCCAGCTGCTGGTTACACTTGTGGTTCTGCTCACGCAGATGTTGGTTCTGCGCCTCCAGCTCGCGCAGCTTGTTGGTCACCCATTCCTTGATGCGCGCAGCCTTCGCCTCGACCTGCTTGGCATCTTGCAACCTCAACTGTCTCTGTAATCAGATCATTTGGTTGATTTAGATTAAACGGTTAGATTCGATTTATAGGGATGCTGAATCACTAGGGTCTTTAAGACAAAGATTAGTGAAAAGTAAGTTGATAGCTTTGTTGCTGACTTATATCAGAGGGTTTATCCAGGACCATTTATTACCAGTCCAATGATAAAGAACAGATTGGTCAATTTTCAAACTATCAAAAAACTACTGACTTTTCTCAGAATTTGAAAAAAAGTAGGGCTACCTACTCACTGGGTAGCTATCTGCTCTGCTACCCAAGTATTTATAGCTTGATCAATTGAGTAATCTATTGATTGATCATTTTCAAAATCTCCTAGATTTGAAATTTTGGTGTAATGTTGTTGTTTCTCCAAAACAAGTATTGTTGGATGTTTTTATCAACTTGAGAACCAAGGATGTAAAATAGAGAACAAGGGTCCAGGTTTTTAGGATTTTAGTGAGAACAGTTGGCTTATCTGAATTAGAAGTCTACTCTAGTACAAACACTCTAGTAGTAGAAACTACTAATATTAAAGCATTTCATTGTTTCTTTGTCTCAATGGTTGAAATGCTGTCAGTGAAATTGAAATATTTTGTTTTTGTGTAAAAGTGGGATTTATTGACTCCTTCTCATCTAGTAAACCTGCTATTTTTACAAAAATCCTTACTATTTCAGAATTACTTTGACTTTAAAGTTTAAAATGCAATCTAAAAACCCCCAAGAATATCAGAATTCATTGTCCTACTTCTGGATATTGCTTTATATTAATTAAATTATTATTGTTACCTTACAATATCCGTTTAGTGTTGGTAGATACTACATGTTTCGTGGCGACTGCCACATCCTCAGGTTATCCTCTTCTCAGATTCGTCATTAATTTAAAACATAAAACACTGAACACACGTAGAAAAACACATTACATTTATTTCTGTACAGTCACGGTGCGTGCACGCGGCCCGACCAAACGCGTGCACGCACCGTGACTGTACAGAAATAAATGTAATGTGTTTTTCTACGTGTGTTCAGTGTTTTATGTTTTAAATTAATGACGAATCTGAGAAGAGGATAACCTGAGGATGTGGCAGTCGCCACGAAACATGTAGTATCTACCAACACTAAACGGATATTGTAAGGCCCCAAGAATAACTTGAATGAATAAAAACTGATGATGAAAATTTTAAAAATATTATGAAATTTTGGATCCACTCCAAACAATTGTGTATGAAAGAGCTGCATCGTAAATTGTTATTTCATCATTGAATTGAGGTATAAAATAGTTTGGTGTGGTGAAAGAAGCCATATGACAGGAAGGGGGTCTGGTGTCAGTTTCAGCTGTTGAACTTCAAGCATGACCTTGCTGCAATGAATAGTAAATGGGAATAAAAATAACAACAACAAAATGTTAACAATAAATAATTACAACAAAAAGTCTGTGCATGAGGAAAAATAAAATAGATAGATTTTCACAATAATGAAGAACTTTGTGTGAATAAAAAAATAACTAATGGTACATCATTTTTTTGCAATCAAATTGGATCTCAATAATTATTAATACATTACTTTTCTTAGTTATAACATTGAAATGGTTATATCTTTCTTTGGCAGTAAAAAAACCACACTGTATTTATAATATGTCTACTTTAATTCAAAATTTGTTTGAGGATTTTTTTATAAAAAAGTGGTACATAGTATTGCACAATATTATAGTAAGTATGATGGAACCTGTCTCCTGACTTATCGTATAACTGTGACCAGTCCACGCTTAAAACCACTGGTTAGTCCCCAGGTAGAAGAGGGGCTGGGGACAAGTGCCATTATACAGACTATATATACATATTGTTAATACTGAGATTGTCAATGGCTAACCACAAACTTATAAGTGTAAAGGTACTTCACTGACTTTAAATCACCATTAAATACTCAAAGAGGATTGGAAGTTAAGGTTTAGAAAAAATCTATAAGTTCCAAATCAGCCACATGGATTTTCATTCAAAAATATTCAAAATTTAGAAACCAACAACTAAGAAATTGGGGTAGGCTCCTGTAACTAAAAATAAATTTCCTCCAAGAAAATGTACATTTACCCTTAGGGATCCCACAGGCCAATAAGGTGTGAATTATGGTAATCGTACATTAAAACTCATCACATACCTGTTCCTCGACCTGGTTGGCCAGTTTGGAGATGGCGTCCTTGTCTTTATCTTCCGGAGAGTTGTTCCCAGGTGTCCAGTCAGCCTGCACCAGTCTCTGCTCCATGATGCGAACCTGAAAAAAACACGATTGTCAAACACAGGACTTTATGCGCAGTTAGATTTATGTACGCGCATCAAGACTTATATGTAGATTTGTAGAGTACGCGTTTCAAGACGAAGATGTGTAGAAAAAACTAGAAGGCAGCTTTGTTGCTGAAAGATCAGCTGGTTTCAAATATAAAAAAAATATAAAAATAAAAATAAAAAAAAATATCAACAAATCTTATTATTTGTAAATAACCTATTTCCTCTACTGAGAGAATCCAAGTATAAGACAACAGTATTGGATGAACATCGGAGTGGAGGATTAAAAATTTACACAGGCTGAGATGGATGACTCTGCACTTATCTCTAAGCTCTCGAGAAAAAGGACCAAAGATCTGTCGGCTGTAAAAAGGCATCTTGCAGGATATTTAATAATAACTTAATCTTTTTTCCCCTAATAAGTATAATCGTCCTCTACATGGGCAAGCAAAGTAAGGAATAAAAGATCTACAATGTTGTAAAATATAATTTTTTGTCTGCCAGTGTATCCGTTTTATTCTGGCGCCTTTCAAAACTAAAGAAACGGAGTGAAGTTTTAAACAAAGAGAGATCATGCGAACGTATCGTCATATATTCATATCCTTAATATTCTCACGAGCTACACTTTCACAAGTTTCAAGTGAAAATATACAAATAAACACTAATATTTTTATTATTTTATTTTATTCCTCAAGATTCTGGTTCTGAGTTGTTTTTAACATTACTACAAACTAGGTTTAGAGGGGGTCACATAATTTTCACTTAGATAAAAATTTTGTTTGGTGGGATCCGAAACTCAGGACCTAAGGGCTTGAAGTTACACGCTCTTTGCCACTAGACCAGCTCACTTCCCTACTATTATTGATAGGTATTAAATATTGAAAAATGAAAATATTTAAAAAACTGAACTAACACAATTAAAGACACTTAGCATAGTCAATTTCATTCTTGATCGTGTAGATATTAAAGTATGGAAGAAAAGAAATACATGAGGCTGTAAAATTTGAAAATTGTGAGGCGAAAACAAATAAATGAAAACCTAAATCATACCTTTAAAGTAAACATGAGTTGGTAAACAACTAAACTAGTTTTAACTCACAAACTTCAAACAACACTAATTGCCAACTAAGTCATTCTTGGTGTCACTAGATTACAATACTCCATATCAGGGTAATTGCCTTTGAAAGAATAATTGCATATAATTGTAATGACCAAAGTCAACGGACTTGTTTATCAAGTAAACCTTGAAACTTATATAATTTATTTTGACAGGTTATTATAATACAAGTTTTAATTACTTTTTTTAAATTTTAAGATTGTGATGTTTCAAAAGCATAAAAATGTTTCAGAAAGAACTACCTGCATTTTTGTGACATTTATTTCAGATATAAAAAATAAGGAAAATTGTCTATTGTCTATGCTTGATTTTTTTACTCATGAAAAATGTTTCAGAAAGAACTACCTATATTTTTGTGACATTTATTTCAGAAATAAAAAATCTAACAAAAAACCACTAAGTGGTAACACTTTCCCCGCCAAGTCAGCAATCCAAAAAAGATAATAAATCATTACTTTTTCCGCCAAGAAAAACAATGTAATGTATGTAAGTTTGGCAACTTGGCGGCAGACTTTTGCTTGGTTTTTTTCATTAAAGTTACGTTTGTGGATAATTTCACTAATCAACTTCTCTAATTAATTAGTCCAACTAAGTATAATAATTTCGAGGTAATCAGTAAATATAAACCATCACTATTATGATTTTATGAAATGTGGCACAAATAAGGTCAAATTTTGTAAAATAAGCTCTCACCTAGCAATGTACTAATGGGAGAGATACTTGCTCAATGAAACTAGTTTTATGGCATTTTTAAAGTGATCGAGCAAAAGTCTGCCGCCAAGTTGCCAAACTTACATACATTACATTATTTTTCTTGGCGGAAAAAGTAATGATTTATTATCTTTTTTGGATTGCTGACTTGGCGGGGAAAGTGTTACCACTTAGTGGTTTTTTGTTAGATTTTATTTATTTTTGTAGAAAATCAACAGTTAAAATAAAAATCCTCTTTTCTCTGATATATAGACCACGGCACAACTACATCTCATTTAATTTCTATAATATTGTTTGTGTAGAGCTAAATTCTACAATTTTGGTCTTATCTGCTTTAAACCGATTAAAAACTTTTTGACACACGTACCAAAATTACTATTTAACAAACCCCCTGGGCTTAAACTCAGTTTCAAATTTCATCAATGGTCATCTTGTGAAAAAATACTTATTAATGTTTTAAAATAATTTTTCAACTGTTCCTATGAATTTCTCTAACATTTAAATTAATTGAGATTTAATCGCAGCTGATCCTTCTTTTGTTTTGATTTTAATCCCATGTTATTTAAATGGGCCAAAATCGTACTTTCAGGGCTTGCCAAGGGTTTATGGGTCAACGCACCGACTTGAGACCCTCAAAAGGCACATATACACGTTAAGGGCTTTCAAACGACATAAAAAACATTAAAATTGAGCCAGTGGTTTGGGCTGTAGGTCAGTCAACATTCAAGGAGAAGAAGGAGAACACGGAAAATTTTTGAATTTTCAAACTAGTTTTTCTTGGCTCAAACACAACCGTTTTTTAAATTCTTTTTTTTATTTTGTTGAGAATGAGTGCCCCTATCCAGTAGATGAATAATTTTTTCAATAGCTTTTGTTTCTTCAGAGCTATAGACTAGTAAAAAAGCCACTTTGTCACGTCATGTATATATACACTGCAGCAGCTGTGTACCGCTGGGGGACTTGGCGGGGCGGAACGCTGCCGCGTTCCTTAATAAGGAAAATTGTCTATTGTCTATGCTTGATTTTTTTTACTCATGTTGACTGGTTTTGTTAGAAATGGGAATCTCCTTTATACTATAATTAATGGGTCGATAATTAGCTTTGTCTATAGTTTTTGAGTACCACAGATGAGTTATAGCGCTTTGATATATTTTTCACTAAATCGAATGTGCAGTTCATTTTAAAATGTATCGATAGTTAAAACTCAAGCAATGTAACACCAAACAAGAAGTTACTCTGGGGAGGGAGAATGGTAACTCTAAGTTATGGAAGTAGATAACAAGACAGAAGGAGATCAATAACTCCAATCTACTTTCTTTTTGTAATACCTTCTTCTACCCTGTTCTTCATTCATAAATTTTATATTGCCCTATCATTTTCTGAAAACCCTCCTGACATGCATTTTTTATTGTGTTTTGATGGGTGAACCAAAACAAGGGACACTAGAAATGACAACTGTCAATTTAAGACTTATTTCAGAAAACCACACTCCATAAAACTTTTTTCAATACAATGACAATGACCAAAAATGATCGTTTGAGGTCTTTGTTCTTCACAAATAAAAATTGTTGGCGTATTGAAACATTGTTACGAGGAGACCGTCTAATTACACCGTTTTGATACAATTTGGTTTTTATTTTTAAACAGTAGGCGATGTTTTTTTTTTACATTACCAATCCAAATAACTATTTGGTGGGATTTTATCAACAGAAATACTAAAATACCCCCGCCGCAGCAAACCTGCAGACTAAGCGAATTTCCATTTGACTGATTGGATTTACACTGAAATATCTACTTAAAAATATAACATTTATTCTTGATTTAAATAGAATTAGTTTAACAAGTACTTAGGTTTGCTGCATCAGGGAGGGTAAAACTGTTTTTTTTTTTAAATATGAATATGTTCACAAACAAGCAAACTACAACAGTTTACTTATTCTCCATAAGAATAACATGGGAATTTTAAATTTAAAATTTTTTGGAATTTTCTCCGTAACAATTAGGCGCATAATAACGCTTCAATATACTAAGTTATTTGTTTTTTTAAGCTCTACAAAATGGTTTGGAAAGAAATTGCTAAATTTTATGTTTTTTGGGTCAAAAATGGGAAAAACCAATTTTTACCCCATAAAACCCCCCGTAAACCCCCGTTCCCATGGTCCGATCATGCTGGATCGCGAACTCGTTCGAATAAACGTACGTTTACACGTTTGTACCAAATTTCATCAAAATCGGATCATTTTTGCTCGAGTTATCGTGCTGACGGACACATATATATCTATATATATAATTCCGTAAGTCAAATTTTTGCAAAGAAATTGTGAGTGACTGGATGGCCGTAGAAGGATGGGAGGGGTCTTATTTTAAAGGTCTTGACGTGAATTTTGAGGGAAAACTATTCATTTTTCTTATTTTTTACCATAAATTCGCAACAGAATAAAACTTTTCCCATTAAAACAACATGGGGTTTAATTTGTTTACATCTTTTGAAATTAAAACAGCAGTGCCACAGATTTGAAAACAGTGATAAATACACGCATTTGGTTTACTTTTAGCCAGTCAACTATGAAATCTATACTATAATAAAACTGAAATATTGAAGATTAGTCGGAAAAACGTCTGCATTCTTTGTTTATATTTAAATCATATACTCAAGTTTCATTTTTTCATGCTTTTACGTTATTGTCGTGTTAAAGGAATAAACGACATAGAATAAATATTCTGTATAAATAATCAAAGAGTCGAAATTAAATCTAACTTCTGTTTTGTTTTTATTTTTAAATCATATGTTCAAGTTTATTTTAAATGATGTTGTTTTCTTTATATTTCTACACATTTTAAGGTTAAGGTTGTGTAAATATATACAACTAAAATAACCTATAAATGTTATTGGTTCTAAAATGGTGTATTTGCATTCCTTCGTTAGCTGAAATTCTATTAGAAAATCCATTTGCACAAATTTACAAAAGAGCTTCGGAAGAAATGGTTGTACAAGGTGACAGTGAATTAGAACTTAGGTTTGTAGACAGGATAAATATGGATCGTCGTAGGTATAATAAGCCTACTGCAGATGAAATTGCAGGCGTCTTCAATTCATCTGAAATCGAACCTCCAATGAATTTTTAAAATTCCAAACAGGGAAGCTTTTATTTATCCTCATT